CCACCATCAGATAGAAGCACCATCAGATAGAAGCACCATCAGATAGAACCACCATCAGTTAGAACCACCATCAGATAGAAGCACCACCAGTTAGAAGCACCACCAGTTAGAACCACCATCAGATGTGATGGGAGGCACGAAAGCACAAATACAAAGTGATGCGCATTGATATTTACAGTTGTAGAAATGGGAATATCAATGGTGTTAGAAGCGGTAGGTGTCCGCGTGACCAGCCAGGAGTCAGGACCAGGGGTCCAGACAGAAATGCAAGAAAACAGATAAAGTGCAGAGTATATCTATGTGACATATATTAATTACATTACAGGTCATTTAGCAGACGCGTTTATCCAAAGCAACTTACATTACAATTTAAACCCATGGCTTTTTTTTCACATTTTTGCCGGGGGAGCAATTAGGGGTTAGGTGTCTTGCTCAGGGACACTTCGACATGGAACATGGGGCAGCCTGGAATCGAACCATCAACCTTGTGCTTCCCAGCACACCTTCTCTAACCCCTGCGCCACAACGACCCCTATTAATAAGAGCAGTATATATATTGTAAATATGAATGACCTGGTAGTGCAGATGTGGCATAATTGAAGCGCAGAATGTTCTGCGGCTGGAAGCTCATGTGTCATTGGAGAGGTGTAGGGGGGTCTGTCACCGTGGTGCAGAGTTCAGCAGGGTGACAGCGGCAGGGAAAAAGCAGTTCCTGAACCTGCTGGTCCGGCAGCAGGTTCCTCCCAGAGGGGATGAGGGGAAACCGTCTATGGCTGGGGTGAGAGTCGTCCTTCACGATGCTCCGCGCCCTCCACAGACGTCTTTTGTGCTGGACAGACTCGATGGAGGGAGTGAGGAAGCAGCGATGCGCTGGGCAGTTTTCACCCTCTGGAGAGATTTCTGGTCTGCAGCAGAGCAGCAGCCGTACCACAGCGTGATGCCGTTGGTGAGGATGCTCTCGATGGTGCAGCGGTTCACCAGGATCTGAGGGGGCAGCATTCTTCAGTCTAGTCAGGGAGAAGAGGCACTGGTGAGCCTTCTTGACCAGGGTTGAGGTGTTGGGAGTCCAAGAGAGGTCCTCGGAGATGTGGGACATTAAATGAATTGGTTTTCTGCTGGTATCAGAGGATGGCCATCGTCTCTAACCTGGACACTATAATCACCTTTTGTACCACCAAACGCCCTCCATCCCCCACCTTGCAACAGCTGAAAGAAGAGCAAAAGTCAAATACTTGATCCGAGCCAGAGCAAAATGTTTTTCAGCAGTAGTGCGGCTGGGAAGCTGAGAGGAGCTGGCGCCGACTTGTGTGAAAGGCGGTTGATTTTCTTGACAGCTCCATCTGGAACACAGCACAGTGTTATTTGAGGGAGTGACCAGCAGCTCTGCTGGATTAACCCTCGCCGAGCTAATGGGCGTCGGTGGTCGCGGGGGAGGGGGGGCGCCCCCAATCAGCGGATCTGCTCGCTAATCTGCAGGCCCACGCAGGGAGACGGCATGAGGCCCACTGGGGTCATTTCTTCCTAGAAAGAGACAGTAGAGCTGAGTGAGTGATGGGCCGAAGGACAGACGGAACGTGTTTGAAGTTAGTGCACAAGGCTGTTTGTGCGATGCAAAAAACTCATTAGGATATATACTTTTTAGTACCCCTGCCGGCACTGTGTCTGCCGTCTCACTCCGCTACGTTCTCCCTTGTAGTTTTGACTGTAAATTTAAAGATCAAGGTTGATTCTAGCATTTCATTATCCTTTTTACACAACAACATTATGTAATGTATCCACCCTGCAGTTTGGTGCTTCTATTTGGCCTCGCTGTAAGTGATGGATGCTCCACGTTTCCGTGGCGTTGGCTGTGTCGGGTTTGGCCGCGTAAGGAGGGTTAAATGGTCCGGATTTAAACATAGACACGCATTGATTTTATTTATTTGAATGTTAAAAAGCACCCAGCGCCTCATTGCCCTTTTCTGATCATTCTATTTTATTTTTGTCATCTCTCATGTAGCCGTTTGTAAAGAGTAAACCCTGCTAATGGGAATATGCCTGTGTGATCACGGTGTGTGGGTTACTTTATTTGCCCATCAGGGACAGCACGCTTAAAATGACTAATTAAATGCGTTGTTTGTGCAGGAAAATGAACAGAACACAGCATTAAACCATAATAACATTTGATGGGAAGCCTCCACTGGCTTTGCAGCATTGCATTGTGGGTGTGGTATGTGCACATTATCAGCTAGCAGGCGTGCTGAGTGGCTCTGAGCGTGGGCCTACCTGCCACATTGTAAATGTCATTTTGGCTTTTTAAGGGATGTCAAAGTTAACAAGACGTTACAAAATAAGCCGCATATCAGTGGTACTCTTCATATACCCATTTGTGAATACACTGTCCAGGTTTTTTGAATGTAGCCGTTTGAAATAGGTATAAACCCCGTTGAACTGCCTTCACATGTTGGGATTACGCCTGGTACCGACTCCACTTGTTCTTTGAAGCCTTAAATGTGACAATCCAGCATTTAGTTTGTCTGCTATCCGAAATAAGGCCATGGGTGTTTTCTGACACCAAATGGAACAACAATAAGCAGCTTCTGCCCACAGCGCTCTCCCCCATTCAAACACAGAGCAGTGCATTACTGGGAGAGTGGGGGGAGGAGTGGGGGGGGGTCTAGAGAGAGGGTCCACGAAAAGAGTGGATTAAAGCTCTTAGATGCGATGGCATGTGGTGACCTCTGCTGCTTTGCTGCATGAGTTGAGTGTGTGAGAGAAGCACAGCAAGATTATCACCTTATCGCGTGTGTGTGTGTGTGTGTGTGTGTGTGTGTGTGTGTGTGTGTGTGTGTGTGTGTGTGTGTGTAAGTAGTGGTGTTGGGGAGGATTGTTAATCCTAATCCACTCGTGAATGTACACGCTCAGGACCAGCAGGGCATTAGTTCTCGTTTTGTGTGTGTGTGTGTGTGTGTGTGCAAGTATATGAATACATTCTTGTTTCGCTGTGCGTGAATGAGCATGTGAGACGTACTGATACGCAGTTTGTGCATTCCTGGGTACGCCAGAGTGCAATTTGAGAGAGAGTGGGGGGGTTAGAGGGCCATTACCAAGTGCATTAGCCCTGTCTGCAGACAGGCTGGGGAAGGGTGAGGAGACGGCGGTGTGTGTGTGTGTGTGTGTGTGTGTGTGTGTGTGTGTGTGTGTGTGTGTGTGTGTGTGGAGGAGAGCTGACGGTTTGAGGATTTCAGCGGGAAAGGGACAATGGGGGTGAGGATTAAGCAGCAAGGGTGAGTGGGGATTGAGTACATTAGTGTGTGTGTGTGTGTGTGTGTGTGTGTGTGTGCGTGTGTGTGTGTGTTGGAGGGATTGAGGGGAGCTGACCCATTAAACAAAAGGCAGAGACACTCGCCCTGAGCAAGAGTCAACTGTCTCTTCCTCCTCTTGTTCAAAACATTTTGAACCGCTGTTGAAAACGCTGCAATTATCAAAAGTTGAGATGACTGAATTTATCAGCAGTGTTTGATGAACACGTTTATGAAGGATCCTCACTGACTCATTTTAATTTGCACCCAACATTTGAATAACATTAACAAACATACTTATTCGAAGACAAACTGTCATGTTTTTGCCAAACCTAGCAGTAGTAGATTTGGTGGTGTTAGTTTTAGATTCACTTAACTACGTCAATCAACTGATTTATCTGTCTTAATAGAATGAAATTTGCCCGCTCTAATGATTCATTATTTATTTGTTCAAAGGTGATTCAACACTAGTCAGTCTAATGGTTATGTGGTAGCTTATGAAAAGCACAACAGAAGTCCATGTTGGGTTAGCTAACATTAGCCACATGAGCTAATGGTCATACCAGACCAAGAACGTCCAAAGCAGCCAAATCCCAGATTACACTGAACTGAGCAATTTATTGCTTTAAAATTCCACCTTTTATTTGTATGAGAATGTTTCTTTCTTTCTTACACGGGCTTGAGATCATCTGCTGTATCTCCACCCCTTTAGGCCGGAGGTCCGCAACCGCCGTGTCAGGACTGGTACCGCTCTGTGGGCCATTTGGTACCGGGCCGCACCACAGAAAGAACCTTTTTCTCTTTTTTTGTCATTTGAATATCTTTTCTGAAAAATGTTGTTTTTGACGGTTGACTGGATTCTCTCCAAATACGCACGCTCGTCAAGCGCTTTTTTTCACCTTCACAATTGTCTACTCCTCGCTTCGTGTCGCAAATCCGCCCACCAGCAGACGGAGAGTGCGCAACAAACGTGCCGTCCCTCCGTCCCGTCCCTCCGTCCCGTCCCTCCGTCCCCCCCAACCATCGGTTGGCCGGTCAGTCCACGACGACTACAAACTCCCCGTCCCCGGTTATTTTGCCTTCTAGACCGCAAAATACTGTCTAACATATGAAAACGGTCCGTGAGGCAAAAAAGGTCGGGGACCACTGCTTTAGGCAATACATCCTTCTGGTTAAGCTCGCCAGTTCTTTTTGCTACATACATTTTCCCCCCCAGCAAATTTAGGATTGATATTGGGAGAGAAGTGAGAGGGACGAAAGCCAGTGAGAGAACAGAGGCGGTGACGAGGAGCAGCGGCGGGTTGAAGACAGTGAGAGCCCTCCTATACCTCCAGTTCTCTGTTATTACACTGATGACATGACTTTGTGAGGTGCGTATTTAGCCAGCTGCCTTTTTGAGCTGTTTGTTTGATACCTTCATGACTACAGCATTATAAAACGTATCGCCATGTGTGCGCGTCCCTCTCCTGTCGCTCATATTGCACCATGCTAAACATACATGTCACTTTGCCAATTTCTGGCTCAAAGTTGTTATTTCGTACTAACATATAAAGGGGAACGGTCATTTTCAGTCAACACTGGAAACCTGGGGTTTGTTCCCACAATTAAATACACTTTAATCAGCACCTAAATCGATCACTAGGCAGCGATCCAAAGGTCTGGACCCCGGCTCCTCTTGCAAAGAAGTTCATACAAAACACGCAGAAACCAGCAGAGTTTTCTAAAAATGTTCTACTTTATTCATTAAGATAAATGTTTTTTGTAAAACATCCAATAAAAAATGATCAATTTATTGCTCATTGTCATCTTTACACTAGGGCTTGATCTGATGCATAATTTAGGTTGTTTTCCAAAGCACTGTTACAAGGAATATGTTGCTTGATAAAATCTTATGCTGTCACTATAATAGTAATAACGTACATACGTATGTTTCGGGTTATATCAAAACAAATCAAACAAAGTTGCTAAACAGAAAAACAGAGAAGGGACAGGCGGCCTCAGAAATCCTCTCCCGTTCTTTTGGCGCAGCATTTGTTGCTTTTCCAGCGAGAAAAGACCTGATGATGTCGGCGGAGGGAATAAAGTTAAGCCTAACGCTGGAAAAGCTACAAACCTGAAGCCCCGGACATCCTTATACCACAGAGGCCCCTCCTGCATGCATTACTCAAGGAGTTACACATATATTAAGTATCAGTCTGTCAACTAGTAAATACAAGTTCAAATAAAATGAAACCAAATTGAGAACGCTGCATACCGTACATGCCAGTGAAACATGGAGCCCCAGAAACGGCTCCATCCGGAGTCGTCGTGTTGCATATGTGCTTATTGTTAATTATCGTAATTCTCTGGCGTCTCTTCAGCTACCGTCACACAACTTTTACATTTTCCTTTGTTTTGTTCACAAAGAATATTTCTATAAATCTAAAACCTGTCAGTATGATTGGATGGAATCTGTGCTCGTCGGACGTGTTCAACATGTAGTAACAACATGTAGTAACAACATGTAGTAACAGCAGGGATGTGTTTTTTTTTACATATAAACAGCCCCTATGAAGTGCAGGTCTAAGATGGAGGATAGCATGTTTGATAAAAACCCTAAAGAGTTGTAGGGGCGGTTTGCGCGGATTGAATACTTGTTGAATTGGAGGATTTCTTTTTAGAGGGGAAATTAAATAGCTGAAGTTCTGTTAAACGCTGAGTAGCCTGCGGGGAAACGGGTCATCTAGAGGAAAGTGTGTCTCACGAGACTCTCTACAGTAGTGAGATGATGTGAGGCTTCCTGTCCCAAGTCTTCTGCACAATTCCACATCCCTCCCACTCCTCCCTGATACACATTCTCGATAAGCAGTGTGTGTGTGTGTGTGTGTGTGTGTGAGATGTTGTATCTTCTCTGCCTTCGGCCGGCCTGTGGCAGCAATCCACAAGAACCTAACGTTTAATTTATGCACACAAAACGAAGGAACACACACGAACACAGTTACGGTCACGTGGACGCACACAGAGGCCGATTGTGAGGTCAGTGGTTATCATGCCACGTAATTACATTCTTGTTTTAAGTAAACTGTGCACAAGGCAGTAGTACATGGTGATCGGCAAGGTGTTGTCTTTTTTTATTCTTTTTCTTTCTTGTGGTGTCAAGAGGCCACAAAATCCCAGATGACAAGAAAGGGCTCCTAAATAAATAAACAAATAAATAAAGGTCAATAAGTTAGAGGGGTCAGTCTGTACAGTGGAGAGAGCTGGTGTGTGTGTGTGTGTGTGTGTGTGTTGTCGTCTTTCCAAAATCGCATCTGCAACGGTGCCTTAATTCGGTAGTTAGATTTGTGGCTAACACACTAACACGGTTGTGCAATTGGTTAATCATTTGTAAATATAACCTTTCCAGGATACGCATCCCCCACCCTGTAGTGTGGAGTAATACTCTAATACTCTACTTAATCTCCTTTACATGTGGGGTCTATCAGACAGATGTCTTTGGGGAAGTAAAACTATTGTCTGCCTATACAAGCAAGTAGTTAGTGTATTAGTATACTGTATATTTTATATTAGGAATCATCATAGGTTCTCGTTACATTTGTCAACCACAAAGTTGTGAAATCGCTCAACTCTCAAATTACCTCTCAAAGTATCAAAACCTTGTTTTGGTTTGTAAGTGGTATAAATATCTCAAATTCCCCCAGCAGACCTGCAGTGGTGATGATTGGCAGTCAGACGGTGGCGCTAAATCGCGACATATCAAAAATGGAAGACAAAAATAAATACAAAGCTGCTATGCACACAATGCAGAGTTGTAGAAAGCGTGTTGACTGGCATAAATATCATATATCATACAGAGACATGTAATAAGAGTATTGATCATCATATATCATATGCAGGAATAAACTTGCAGTGGGTGTGAGGCGGGAGTTTTATGTGTGTGTGTGTGTGTGTGTGTGTGTCTTTGTGCCCTTGTTGGAGTGCGTGTGTTGGGAAATTAGGGAGAGGGAGGGACATCAGCTGTTGTACATTCAAGGTGAGAGCGTAGGGGGCGCTGGCCCAGCAGGGGGGTCAGGTCCAGGGGGCGGGGGTCATCTGTAGGTGCGTGTTGGTCAGAGTGGTTAAAGGTGAAAGGTCGTGGCGGTGCTGGATGGCTTCTTCTAGAGAAGGATGCACTTTCCTTTCTCCACCCACGGGTTGTTCTTCATGAGCTCCTGGTTCAGGAAGGGATCCTCCGGGACGCCGTCCTCTATCCACTTCACCAAACTTTGTGGAGAGAGAGAGAGAGAGAGAGAGAGAGAGAGAGAGAGAGAGAGAGAGAGAGAGAGAGAGAGCGAGAGAGAGATTTTTCAAATTCCAGAATAACTTTGTTACCACAATCCATCTACTTCATCTCTTTTTCCATACAAGGCAAGAAAGGATGAGAGAGACATTTCACTCCATCTATTGGGAATAATATCCCTTCTGTCCAAGTCCTATTGTTGTTATTGGTAACTCCAACAAGAACAGCGTAGTCCCTACAACAGGCACAGGTGCTCAAACCACAACAAAAGGGCATCCAGCGCCAAAGTTATTCAGGAAATTAAAAATATGAATTAAAAAATAAATAAATACAAAAACACATTAGTATATATTCCCTGTCCTTCTGCTTATGGAGTCTCTTTTCTTGGCATTATGCTGCAAATTTTGTAAATAAGATCAATGTTGTGCATAATAATCAAGAGTGACTTAATTACCCCCTAAGCAGCATTACACTAATAATATACCACAATATACCTCACCAGACTGTCATGGAGCTCAACTTAAGACCTACCTTTCATTTCAACAATTGATTAAATTAAACTAGTGAACTTGTCTAATTTGTAGAACAGTAAAACTGCCTTTAAATTCTCTGCCTGTATTTCTCTCCCTCTCTCTCTTCATTAAACATCACAAACGTCAGTAAACAGCTGGACAAGGCTCTGAAATGGGGAATCCTGGATTCCGCGAGTTTATTGTTTGTTCGTTTTTTAGGAAACGTCGCACCAGTTGCGGCGTAATGTTTTCAGCGGCGCTAATGGCGTGGTTAATTTATCACCAAACGTCGGGGATTTGCACGAACACCGTCATCAGCCGTTTGGCGCTTAGCGCTGCACGAGTACGAGGAGGAGGAGGGAGGGGCGGGGCTTGTGAGAAATTCTCTCAAGAACTCAAATAAATGCCGGTCAGATATTAAAACACATTTGGGGGGGAATTGATGAGAGAGAGTCACTTTTATTATTAAATATTAATGAATGAAGAAAGCAGAAGGGGCATTTTTGTCATCCAGGGCAAAAGGTCAAAAATAATGGAGAGATTTTGGTAAATTTTTTTCGTAAAGTATATGTATTTTTTATTGACTGGATCACTGTCACTGTAGTAAAGGACCAGGGCCAATGGCATGCTGCAAAACTTTTACTACACTACACGCTGTGCGTGCTCTTATTTTGTTTGCGCAATGTTGGAGGAGGGTAATGTTGTTAGGGTAATGTTGTTAGGGTAACGTTGTTAGCGCAACGTCGTTAGGGTAACGTCGTTAGCGTAACGTCGTTAGCGCAACGTCGTTAGCGCAACGTCGTTAGCGTAAAGTCGTTAGCGTAACGTCAGTAGCGTAACGTCGTTAGCGTAATGTTGTTAGTGTAATGTTGTTAGCGTAACAGTGTTAGCGTAACGTTGTTAGCGTAATGTTGTTGGTGTTAATGTCGTTAGGGTAATGTTGTTAGCGTAACGTTGTTAGCGTAATGCAGTCAGCGTAATGTTGTTAGTGTAATGTCGTTAGCGTAACGTTGTTAGCGTAATGCAGTCAGCGTAATGTTGTTAGCGTGACGTTGTTAGCGTAATGCTGTTAGCGTAATGTTGTTGGTGTAATGTCGTTAGGGTAATGTTGTTAGCGTAATGCAGTCAGCGTAATGTGGTCAGCGTAATGTAATATGCGTAATAACTCTAGCGAATTATCTTAGCAGAGGCCTTTTAAATTTAACTTCTGATTTCTAAATAGAAAAATACCTGTAACGGTACTTTCAAAAGAATACATTTATTCACACTAGTTTCAAAACACAGACCCTGAATACTTCTGTATTCTACATGAAAAACAGCCTCTGAAGTGCTTCTTCTGAGCCCTCTCCATTGGCCCTTAATCAGCTGCTGCTTTGGTGAGAGCATGAGACGAACAAAGAGAGCGCTGAACGGAAGCTAATGATGGCTGCAGCTTCGTTTAATGATTCCACATGTGCCCCCACTGTGACAACAGCCTTTGAGGCAGCATTAGTTACTGAAGCCATATCACTTCTTTATCACTGTTGTGGAATGACTAATGCCGTCACACTCAAAGTCACTGTGTTTATGTAATCATTGTACTTCACATTGAACAACCGCCAATATCTCTTTCAAACTAGCTCGGAAAAAGCTGGTTAAAAAACTCACACAGCCGTCTTTGGCAGATGTGCAGCTCCATCAACCCCCCTGAATGCTACACACTTGCAACAACACATCTCATTTCTGAGCTTTTCATCTAAGTGGTTTTGGGGGCATTGAACTCGGTGCCGGGACTCGGTGCAGAACTATTACGGTCCAAGTACTCACTCAGTCACCGTTTTGGAAGACTTCTCCCGTTTGAAGGCCAGTTGGTACTTGAGGCTGTCCACCTCCTTCTTCATCTGGGGCACGTCCCACTCATCCATGGCTGCGGCTCAATGCGGGTTCTTTACTACCTGTGCACAGCGGACAGGGGCAAGAATTTAACTATGTCAGCAGCCGACATGGCTGGAGTGCTACCACACCAACTGTATAGAAACTCGTTCATTTATTTTATAATGCCACTCTCAGTGAATGCAAGTCAGAGTAGAGTGGTTGATATTTATTTATTCCAACACAAAACTTCACTCCACGAGATGAGTGCCCGATACAGAGAAAATAAACGTGCTTTTAAACACATATATTCAGGACTTCCAATACACATTTGGTTGGATTCACATGAAATGCATTGTTGAAAGCAAAAGACATTATCATATATTAGGTAGTAATGAACAACAGCAAGCAGGAAAGCCAAACATGCCGGTGCTCAACTCTTCTATTTCAATATTGTCTCCATTTTTCACATGCTGCGTCTTTTTCTTTGCCTGTTCCTCCCTCCCTCTCACTCACCACCCACGCTCTACGTCCACTATAACCTCTCAACAATACTCTTTCCCTCTTTCGTGTGCACGCAAGTGTTTGTGTATCCTATGGTGTGTGCGTGTGTGTGAGTCATGTGAGGATTCGGATGAGCCGAGCGCTTGTCTGGTCTGCATTCAGAATCGATCCCACTGCGGTGCTCCAGCACAGAAATTTTATAAGGGACATTGAATAATTCTTGATATCATGCAATTGTTATTATAACATTATGACAGTTTAGTGAGTGAGGGAGCATTGCCAGGAAGGAAATAGATGCTCTGAATTCAACACCTACTTCAAGGCTTGGTCAGGCTGCACCACAATAGAAATTTGTTTTATTTATATTCAAACAGCTCTGAAAATCTGTCTATTTTTAACCCAACTTTTGAAAAATGGGACGGTGAAAATCATCACTAATAGGAGGGACAAGAAAAGGTTGGGGCTCATAAAGGGGAGACGGACATCATGAGTTAGTGTAGTGTGTGTGTGTGTGTGTGTGTGTGTGTGTGTGTGTGTGTGTGTGTGTGTGTGTGTGCAGATGTTTGAGGAAAACACCAGGTGCGTTATTACAAGAAGAAGTGAGTTAGAGTGAAGGAGCGAAGGAGAGATTGCTTCAGCAGCATCCTCCAGAGATGACAGGAGGATTGAATGCTCCGCCTCTCTCTTCCTCTCTGATTGCCCCTCTCCCCTTCCTTCCCTTCCACCCGTCTGCTCCATCCATCTTTTCTCCACCCTATCTCATTGGCCCGTCTCGTTTTCTCACTTGCGAATAACAACTGAAACTTTTTGTTCAACTATGTTTACTTTGTGAGCGCAGGACAATGGGGTTGATTGTGACTGCTCCATGTCCCGTTTCCGACCTTCACTTCACTAAACTGTCTGCCTTGCATTGGATAGGGGACAATGCATTTTGTGGGCGGGGTTGAGTTCAGTAAATTTATGTCTCGTACGCAGAAATTCTTGCCACGGTATTTATATTTCTCACGTACAAAAATAAATCCGAAATACGTCTCCGTTTTCCATCGTACGTTCTTGTACGTCTTAGTCTGTGACTTTGAACACAGCTTTTCTCCTCATCAATCTACCTGTCTTCATCCATTGCATTGTTCTCTTCTCTCTCTCTCTCTCCCTCTCATCCTTGAACTCTTCCACTGTCCCCTCTCGCTCTTCCTCCCAAATTACTCCTCGCGTACTTCCGTCTTCACCTTCTGCATCCTCCTGGCCAATTAAGAGCTGAGCAGAGGTTGACCTTTAGACAGCTGAGGGAATGGGAATGGTGGACCGAGCGTTGGCGTGCGCCGTGAGGTTTGAAGCGGAGACGATCGTCGAGGCAGGTCCCCCCCCCCCCAGCGTTCTCCTGCTCTTCCTTCCAACGTTCTCTGAAATCTGTTTTTCCATCCGTCCCCTGCTGTTCTTCCACAGATGTCTCCACGCTAAGTGCTTCCTGTCCAGTTGCACACATTTCAGTTAGTCCGATGTCCCACACCATATCAATCTCTCTCTCCCTCTGTGGCCAGAAGCTGTCACGGACGTTATCCATAACAACGCTTAAAAATAACACGTTCCATTAAGAACCAGCACTCATTTTTAAAGGTTCAAACTGAACAGAATAAACATGTCGGGGGGCTTTTCTTTTCCTTTTTTCAAGGTTATTCCTTCTTCTGCCATGAGGGAAAAGCATAGCTTATATGTCAGTGGACTGCCGTTATGAAGCCTATATTTTGGCGATTCGCCCGTCCCCATCATTACTTTTTCCAAGCGGTGGACAGTAACCGTATTTGGACTGCGGAGGAATCACGTAGAGCAGGGGTCTCAAACTCGCGGCCCGCGGGCCAATTGCGGCCCTCGGGACGATATTTTGTGGCCCCCGCCTTCATATGAAAGTGTAATGTTAGTGCGGCCCGCGAGTTCTATATTGTAGCAACCTCGCTGTTAGCAGCCACTTACAACCTCCACCCCAGCGCCGACCGTTCCGTTCGCCGGTCGGACCGTCAGTGTCATCCCCCCCGTCGGCCATAATGGTCTGGCCCGCGTTCGGTCGAGGTGGGCTGCATCTGGCCCGTACCTGACTTGAGTTTGAGACCCCTGACGTAGAGGCAATCACAGTAGCCCCGCCCTAAATCCTGCCCTGCTTTTTGGTCTGTTCTGCTCTAGATGGGACAAAACATCCCGCTTTATTGAAGAAGACAGAGCACCTGAGAGGAAAGTGTCAAACTGAGGCTGCTCCAAAGGAGAGAAGTATCCTCAGAAAGTCCTCTCGGATGCTCATGTGCCATCCACAACATATTTACCTATCCTTTGTCTACGGAGCAGCTATGCACTCTAATGTAATAATGCAATACCTGATGACGTCCCAGATTTGGGCTCCCTAGTTTTGGGATTTGGGGTTAATCAAGTTTAGTATTATTATTACTTTTAGACGTCTCAGACCACCTTAAACAGACTTTTACAGACAAGGATCTCTGGAATTTGATATTTTCTGCGTGTATTCGGTCATCAACCGACGTTTTGGACATTGATGGCGACGCGGGCCGAAAACCAACTCAGGACGTCGTCATTAAGAAGAAACCAGTGACGATGCGCAGAAGTTATCGACGCCCCACCAAGAAGAATATCTAATTGACAAACCGACAAACCGTGCAGGTCCTGCACAGAAGGACCTCTGGTCTGTTTCCACATCATCTCCACTTAATATTATTATTGTTACTAAATGTATGTACTCTTTTAGATCTTCTAATCAAACTTTTTTTGTTTGTACCTCTGGCGTGTTTTCTCAGAGATAATTAAGAACTTACCATTAAGAACTTATGGTTGTCTTTAGAGGGGGAGATGTGTAGGTTACATGATGATTTGGGTCAAAAGCATCCAGAGATTAACCTCTAACCCCCCCCCAGCTCCCCAACAGATCCTCTAACCCTAACCCCTAACCCTGACCCTGACCCTGACCCTAACCTAAACCCAGTCACCCCAGCCTCACAAAGTCATGTCTAAAGTCTAAGCGTGAAAGTGGTACAGACGGGGAGTGAGACGGAGCGGGAGGGAGGCAAGGCAGGGAGACAGAAGAAGAAGGGAAACAGTGAGACAGTGCCACTATGGCTACCGCATGGTAAATAGAGACTAAAAATAGAAAGGAACAGGCAGAGCTCCCCTGACCAGCTGAGAGAGAAGGAAGCGGCTCCGTTGCTGAGATGATGCTTAGGGAAATAAATGGCAGATGCTGACAGACAGGATTTGAGCTTTTCTTCTTCTCTTTTTTTAACAACCAGACGGTCTATTGGGCCTGCAATGAGCCCGGAGGCATCTGGCTGCTATCACACCAGCCGGGCCCCGCCAACGCGGGGACACGTCCAGTCGATAGGATCAATAAAACCTCAAATGAAACCCTGTCACTCTGAAATATATAATGGAGTGGTTGCACAACACAACATAACCGCTGTAATGTGCAGCCGGCTTAGCTAGTCGGACTGCTGGGTGGAAACGGGGCTTTTTTTGTCAGTGTGTGGCCCCACACAGGGTTAAAAAGAGACGAGGACTCAGGGGGCGGGGCAAGATGGGTGGTACGCGCCCTGCCTGGTATCTGTTTGTTCCCCCCAAGGTGTCCACGCCATCAGTCAATCACGGATGGATTAACGTAACACAGGCACAAGGCCCCCTGGGTTGAGCCTGTGTGTGCAGTGATGCTAACGGGGCGCGTGGGGAGTCATTCAAAGGACCAAGACACACAAACAGACAGAAAACAACTACAATGAGATGCACAAGACTACAAATAGTCAGTAAATGACAACAAGGACATGCCAAACAACAACAGAGGAACTCAAAGGGAAACTGAATGGAGTCAAATAACAACTACGAAGACACGCAAAACCACTACCAGTCATAAAACCACACAGACTTACGAACCTCAATAAAAAGACACAGAGAAATGCGAAACCGCCACAGAAAACAACTGAAACAACTGAAGGGTGTCCTACTGCGATGAGGGAGAGCTTGTGGGCAGGGGGGCCTTTTACAAGCTTTATCCAGGAGCAGTTGTCTCACAATCTGCCTGAGCTATTTGGGGTTACACATAGCCGTGATTTCCTTATCTTTCCATATCAGCATGTGAAGAACGTCACACTTAGGTGTGAAAGAGCGGGTGGGGAGGGGTGGTGGTGTAACTTTTATGTAATATTCCTGGGTTCTTTAGGGCCCTGTATTGAGGTGTGTGCGTGTGTGTGTGTGTGTGTGTGTGTTTGCGCGTGTGTCGGGAGGCTGCAGGACAAAGTGCACTTAAAATAAAGATGAAGGTACCTTGTGAACTCCTAAGTGACTCCTTTTCTGTTGTTCCCATGAATAACACTCATCACATGTTCCGCAGTGTTCTGCTGCAGAAGCGCCTCTGATGACGAGCACCTGACAGGAGAGCATCTCCACCTCTCTTACCTCACTGATGGAGTCCGGCCGGCGCGGTTCAGCCGGAGGAGTGCGTGGTGGGGCACAGACGATCTTCACTCCCCCGTTGTAGGAAGAGCCAAAGAACGCAGACTTAACGCCCGTACACAAAGAGAGACCGGGTGTGGAGGGGGGGGGGGATAGAATCTCAGTTGGGATGACAACAGTCTGAGACTGGAGAGGCGTCTGTAATCGGGATCCGTCGCCTTGAGCCGCTGTTCGGAGCCAACCACGCGCGCCCGAGCCTTAAAACCTGCGTGTGGGTGTAGGGGGGGGGAGGCGGGGGGGGGAGGGGGGGGGGGGGAGGGGGGGAGGCGGACAAGTTAACGAGCCGGTCCGTTGCGTGCGCGCTCCTCCGTTAGAGAGAGAGAGAGAGAGAGAGAGGGGGGGGAGAGAGAGAGAGAGAGAGGGGGGGGGGGGAGAGAGAGAGAGAGTTCCCCGAGGATGCGTTTAGAGAGTTGACGAGGTGGAGGAGGAGGAGAGGAGGGGGAGGAGGAGGAGAGGAGGGGGAGGAGGAGGAGAGGAGGGGGAGGAGTTTAAGCAGCCAGGTACACAGTCATGGGAGGAAGGCTTTACACTCCTGTGCGTGTGCATGTGCGTGTGGCCCCTAGTTGCCCCCCTCCGTTGCCAGACTGGATTTTTGTCCTAATATGGCCACTCATAGCTCCATCTGCAAAAGACAGATTTAGGTTCTGGCTGCATGGGGGGTGGGGGTGGTGGAGTTGAAGGGGGGGGCTGATTTGGGCTGTGAGACATACTGCATTTGAGTCCACAGAAGAAGGGCTTTGTTGGGCTTCATGTTCAGAGCACATTCTCAGCCACCAGTGCTTAACACGTGTGAATCATCTCCATCACTCATTTCAGGACCACCCCCCCCCAAAAAAAAATACCCAGGGTGCACTGCAGTTTTCAGTATGAAAACAGGTGGCTTCCTTATAGGAAGTCAGGAGCAGGAAAACTGCCACCACCGCGACTTAATACTGCCATGGTGGACACTAAATATGTTGTTACAGATGTTTGCAGTGAAAACACCACGACGAGGAGGCTGATGGTGGATTCTTCCTGATCCCTGAGCTCTGTGGATCCACACAACGGGCCCTAAACGCTGCAGCAGCATTCAGAAGTACTGCAAAGATGTTATTGGCTCCAGAAGAACAAGGGGAGGTTTTTGTACATTTAATATATTCATCCTGTCAATTGAAACCGATGTACAACAACGTGGTCTATTGAACATCGGACATGTTGCTTTTAATGAAGAAACGGATGCACATTGTTGAATATGTACTTTTACTGTAAATTGGACCAGTACTCAGTCAACGAAGGGGTTAACAGAATTTTTTTTTTTTTACTCCCCCGGCCTGCGTACTGATTTACATTTTCAATGGACATCTCAATACAAACACACACACGTGCACAATTCATCAGCCGGGCAGCACACGGTTCATTAATTGTCATGTGCTCAGGTGTCCCATTCAGAGGGAAGCGGCCGGCCTCAGCGACAGCACACACACAGGGAAGAATGGTCGCTAGGTGTGGTTTGTTGGACTTTACATATCAATAGAGAACTCAAAGCAAAGGCAAATTTAACCTCAAACTTGCAGGCAACCTTTTGTAAAATGATTGCGCCTGCAGCTTAAAATCCACGTTTGAACCGTTGGATTGATACATGAACATTTTAAATCTTAGTAAAAGGGGGTTGACGGAAGACAAAACAGTAACTGAATTTGCAGGTGTGTTTATCAGTTGAAGCGAAATGTGCTGGAAAGAGCTGGAGCTTCCACGGTGTTGACATGCCAGTCAAAGCGTGGGCAATGGGAATTGAGCTGGAAGCGTGTGTTGAATGTGGAAGTGCTGAAAAATGTCCAGTTGGACGACCATAAAGTCCTTTCAAGTGCACAACCGCAGAGAAGCGTCTGTCAAAGCGTCGGCTGGAGTGTGACCACCGAGCGCGCGTTTCCAGGGCCGGCCGCTTGTACCCAACAGAAGAAAGCTGCTGGACAGCCGCCACGGTTAAACAAAGATAAAGGTGCACTTACAGAAACTCAAACATGAGGGGGGGGGGGGGGGGTACCTTTTAAATAAAGAATGGAAAAGGAACAGTTTGAATTCAACGGACAAATTGTCTTCTACTGGCGAACAGTGAGCAGGGGAGAAGGCGTCCCCTTTCTTTCAGCGGTCCGTCCTGGTCTGCCGTCCCGTTGTCCTCCCGGCGATCACAACAGCGCTCCCCAGATAGCAGCGCTTCACTCCTGCTGTGATAACATCACACTTTCAGGCCGCCGTCGCACTAATTGGCACTGTGCGGAATCAGCACGAACTCGCCAAATGGAGGACCTCTTTTTGCGACCTTTTGCGAGTCACATTCACACCCAGTCGTCCCAAAATAATGATCTGGTTTGAACCCAGCTGTCTTTTACCCCAGTAATGATTCCAGGATTCCCTCACACGCTTCCCGTTGTCTATTGTCTCAAAGCTGACCTTGACTTTTAACACAGTAAAACAGGACAGAGAGTTAAAGAGGAAGAAATGTAGGTGGATTCTTTTGAAAGAGATGGAAGACTTCACAGGCCCCATTAAGAGCCGTGGCCGTCTCAGGGAGTAAAGATACCGGGATGCTGCGAGATCAAATTAGTACCCTTCACCTCTTCAAAGTCGCCCAGTTAAAAACAAAAAAAGAAACTCATTTCCATTGGACGGCGGATGATTTCCTGTCTGTGTGCTGCAGGAGTCAAAAGGTGCACCGTGTGTGAAATGATTGGGAAATTGGCTTTTGTCCTAGTGAACAATCTTTTCTTTTTTTTTCTTCCTTGACACTATAGATTCCCATGGGCGGGAGGAAGAGCGCTGCGCTGCTCCGCTTCAGAGGTACTCACACTGCGCTCATGCCATGTCAGCAGAAAGCCGAGAGGAGGAAGATGTACTTTTGTTTCGGCTTGAGAGAATCAAGGTTTAGGTTTCATTTGCAGAGTCTGTCCTGTCTGGTACAGCACGGCAGATGCTATTTCAACACGCATGTTGCTACTTTGGACCTTACCTATGGGATGTCAGGTAAATGTCAGTTTTAAGGCACTGTGAATAAAAAGCAATAGGGAAGTCAGAAGAAAAATGAACGTATAGAACTAGTTTAGATATACTGACCAACCTGGATGGGTCAAAGCAATACAGACGAGCCTTTTGTTGGCTGCTAAAAGGAGACGGTGATGAAACGACGGTTTGGGCGTTTAACGAGGTTACCCAGCTAGCTGGCAAGCGCAGGCTGGGTTGGTGATGGACATTTTGCAAGACAAGAATCGCAGAACAAAGCTAAACGGTGCTACGACCAATCCATGAAAACCACAGCTTGACTTGCAAAAACAATCTTTAATATCTGATAGCGGAACGCCTGAACAGCAATATAAATACGTCATTTTGGGAGTCAACATTTTCCATCGTTTAGGTACGAGAACACGTTGCATATACAAAGTGTCCCGATGACTCCACTCAATGCGGCATGTGAAACACCCCCGGACCCCCTGCGGTTTACGCAGAGAAGCCTCTGGAAACCCCCCCTCTGGCTTCAGAAGAGCTGTTTCTAATCCAAGCAAGTGTTTTACGCTTTCAGCCATTAATCCGACGCGATATCTGTGACACATGTGATGAGCGGTCAGAGCCACTGGAGAGGGTGTGGATCAGATTAGATCACGGCTTTTAGTGTGAATGTGCACACAGCTGTGAGGTCGCATACCATGTGCCTGTATGTTTGTGTGCGTGTGTTGGGATTACGAGTCCTTCGACAGATTACCGCTGCTCCATTAGAGACAGTAAGACCAGTTGGTCAACGCACTGGTCGGGACGTTGACACAATTAGCAATATTTTCCCAGCTGTCACTGACATTTAGGTTATTTTATATTGTATTGTTTTGTGTAATATAGGTTGATCTGAGAGAAATACTAGTAAGCGGGCGACGTGGCACAGGGGTAGAGAGGGTGCGTTAGGAACCGCGAGGTTGGTGGTTCGAGCCCCGGCTGCCCCATGTCGAAGTGTCCCTGAGCAAGACACCTAACCCCTAATTGCTCCCCAGGCAAAAATATAAAAAGCCGCTTTGTCAGCTAAATTACCTGTAATGTAAAATACTGTAAATCTGTTGGAGCTGCTGTTTAATGGAATAATGGAATAAATTCTATTTTCAGCATGTATAACATTTAGTCGGGACTGTGCTTAATGTTTAACTACCAGCCTGGTTTCTGTACAAAATGTGACAAAAACACTTGATAAATTAACCAATGACCTAGGGAGGCTTAATGTTTCCAGTCTTTGTGCTAAGCTAAGCTAAAGCGATTAATTTCTCTTCAAATGAAAAACTACTTGTTTTCATTAAAGATCAAATCCTTTATTCTTGTTCTCAGAATATTCACAATCGATTATGCACCTTTAATCATTCTTGGATTCATACACAGGGAATGGTTTTCTATTTGGTTTAGCATCACAGCTTCACCAAGTTGTGTGTGTGAAGGGTTAACCACCTCAGTGCAGAGAGGGATGGAGCACTAAAACTGGCACACACACACACACACACACACACACACGCACACACACACACACACACACACGCACACACAGATGGGGCAGCAGTGGTGATGTGAGCACCGGCAGTACTTAGGGACAGGGTCTATCTCAGCTGATCATTAATTCATGATGTTCATCTCGGATGGAACAGATCAGAGAGGATATTCAGCGTGGATACATGTTGAGAAAGGTCATGTGACCTTAAAGCAATGCAGAGGGAGTCCGTGTTTGTGGGAATGGACTTGAAACAGAGACAGATAGAAATTAAGAAACGGAGAAGGTACGTATCAGGGTTGGAAAATCAAGACCCGCTCTAAAAGAGCAGCGCCTGCGTGTTTCCTCTGTTTCTAAAAACATCCACTCTTCCACATCACATCCCGTAAAAGGGTCCATTCCATTCCAGCTGTAAGCCTTTCCTCACCTTCCCCTCTCTGCACTAAAAACATTATTGAGCTCCCCTGACCTTGTGTTGGCCCGAAAAATCTCATCAAATCCACAAAAAAAGTGCCCTACTTTGAAGAGCGGGAGGGAGGTTGTGTGTTTTTGCACCATTTGTTTGCTGCTCTTTGTCAGATTTCTATGAATAGCTTGTGAAAAGACAATCGGTCGACTTGGCAGTTTCACAGATCAGCCAGCTGTTGATATGTTGACAATGGAAACCTTTATAGAAATAGACTAAATCCTACTCTGTCCTTCTCCCACATCTCATCCTCCCTCCTGCTGCTCCCATCATCCGCCCCCCCACCTCCCTCCTCTTTTGTGTGCCCGGCTGCCTCCCTTGTAATCCCGTGTCTCTCTTTGTGGCAGTACAGCTTGTGGCTCAGCTGCACTTTGGGCCCTAATGGAGCCCGTCAATGGGGAGGATGCCACCCTGTTGTCTCTATCAAGGTCAAGTGTGTGCATGAAAGCGTGTGTGTGTCTGTGCGTTTGGCGGCCTTGTAGATTTGGTGTATTCTTTGTTTGTGGGCTTGTTGGCAGTGTCCTCATGTCTTCTGCACGTATTTTTTATATATTGGAGTCTCTGTTATTTAAAAGAAACTAAACTCCACCGTAGGCTGGTGGACTACTCAACGTGACGTCACCCAGTGGTTTAGAGCTCGAGTTTGAGGTTTTTAAGCCTGGCCGTCACCCTCTTGGAATACGCCGTTGCCGTGGCGATTTCTTCACAACTAATAAACAGAATATTTACAATGCGGAGAAGTGACGTTGAGACGCCATAAAACGCTGTGAGCAGCAGCAACCTGTCAATCAGAGTAAGCCCGCCCTAAAGCATACCCTGCTTTAGGGTTTTATTTAACTTTGAATGCATCATCATTTAATAAATGAACATCATGTTGTTATGAAGAAACTTGAAACTAGAGATTAAGACCGTAAACCCATGTTTACGGTGTTTACTGAGGGAATAAATCTGGTGAGAAGTAGATTCCTTTTCTCATTCATTTCTATACAATCAGGCTTCTTTTGGCTGCGCGTCGGGTCTAACAACACTTTCACATTGTTGGACGATAAAGTACAGCCTCTCGTACCTTATTGCTTTAATATACAACAAGGCTGAAACAAAGCAGCAATCCTTTTAAAATATGCTCCTGCTCCTTTTTCAGGATGAAAATGTGCACAGTAGGAAAGAATGTGAATAACATAATAATGCTCATAAAGGTCACCTGGTTCTTTATTATTATAACATTTTATCAACGAGTCCCAAACTTGCCACTTGTATAACTAAATCATTACATTACATTACAGGTCATTTAGCTGACGCTTTTATCCAAAGCGACTTACATTACATTTACAACCCATGGCTTTTTACATTTCTGCCCACGGAGCAATTAGGGGTTAGTTGTCTTGCTCAGGGACACTTCGTCATGAGACACGGAGCAGCCGGGGGTCGAACCGCCAACCTTGTGGTTCCATAATCATAACGTATCTGTTGGGGTTTGTTTTTCTACAGTAGTTCATGTTACAGTTGAATATGTTGCATTACATCCGGATAGTTGTCAGGCACCAACCACCAAGTCAAACCTCTTGTATGCGCACGTATACGTATGAACGGTTCTGATTCTGATGTGCATGTCACATGCGAATGAAGGCGGGAGGACGGGAGGACGGGAGAGCTTTGTGCTCGCCGTGTCAGCCGCACAGAAGGAGACGAGTGTTTCGTGAATGGCGAGGAGCCGATGTGAGACATTTTGCATGTGCACACCGGGGGGAGGGGGGGTGACTGCTGGTGAAGTGCATTTCGTACGCACTGTCAGCTGTTGGAGGCATCTTATCAGCATGAAAGGAGAGATCCAAAAGCGGAGCCGAATCGGTCCCCTGCATAAAGGCTTATGACCACCATTAAAACTGAGAGCAGGAACCCATCCCAAACATCTGCATCACAGAGGGGGGGCTGCGTGCTCCGGGCGGGTGAGGGACAGGAGGCCTCAGGGGGTAGAGAGCCGAGGCTAGTCAGCGGTGTCCCAAATAAAGGAGATAAAACCATTAATGGCCCGGGTTTCCCTCTAAATGCAACGCTGAGCCGTGCGCCCACAAAGCTGCATTTAGAGCATCTCTTATTCATGGCTGCATTACGGCATCCAGGCCTTTCTTCTCTCGCTTTCTATTTACGGCTCCCCTCCCTCTCTCTCCCTCCCTCTCTCTTCTCAGGCCCCTGCTGTGGTTCCCAGGCCCATCGGTGCTCCAGCATCTTCTCCAGCATCTTCTCCTTCCCACACGCATCGCATCGTAACACACTGCGGCGGAAGTGATCAGAGGTTCTGCTGGTTTTTATCGGTGTTTTTCCGAGAGCAGAAATGTTGGAATGTTGCCGAGGTGGTGAAACCTGCGTCCACGATAGTGGACTGTTTGACACACAGTCGATATCTTTACACAAGTTCTACAGGAACCATTCTGACGTGCGCAGCTCTTGAGTATACTGTATATTTTAATGTAGTATTTATTTTATATATATAAATATATAATACGATTTACTAGCATGCTAGGTAACTAATATATAAGACTAACAAGAGCCATTTTTCCTGCATTAATTAAATTTGCTGATAATAATTGTTACTTAAATGAAAAAATACTGGACCTTTTCTTGTACTTGAAGGTCTTCATATATTATATTTACACATATTCACACCCACACAGGGTTTTTTTAGCGTTGCGGCCCGGATGAGGGTGGGCGGCGCTGTGCAGGTTGTTCTCCATGTTTCATGTGCAGGGCCCAAAGAAGTGCAATGTGAGCGGAGAGGACCTTCCCGGTCAGGGAGATGTTGAACTCGCTTTTAGTTTTCAGAGTGGAGAGGCGCAGTTGCTCTGCAGCGATGGTATGACCCAGGGCATGATGGGAAACATCTCACTGCCACAAGATGAGAGAGCCGATTGTGGAAAATACTGATTCCTGTGTATTTGTAAAGGTAATGCTAGATAGTCTCAATTTGTGCAACGAAGGTTACATCTAAAAACGTGTGTGATTGATGATAATAATAACAATGATTTGATGCAATCTTTTATCATCTACACACCTTTGTTCGTTCTACTGTTTTGAAATGGGCTCCCTGATGCATGTGGATGAAAGTCTTGATTTAGTTTTGTTTGCATCACTTCTAACATCTCGGAGCTTCTACATTCTCCAGCGAGACACAGACAACTATAAAGAAGGTAATCTGGTCCAAAGCTCGGCTACATCTAGACAACCAGTGTCCCCTTGTGGTGAAAGGAAGGCAGCAGGAAACAATGGAGCAGCAATATCAGCTCACACACACACACACACACACACCCTTGTGATGTTGTTATTTCAAGGCGTAATAAGTAATATGCTTTGGGGTGTTACTTGTCAGTGAGGTGTTTGCATCAAAGCTTTTGGCTAAAAGCACCTCCGAATTAAAAATAGTCGTACGTGTACTGACAGCCACCTTCCCCACAGAAAGTCCACAGAATGGAAAGAATCTGATTCAATCGGAGTCAAAGAATAACTTACGCGCATGTGCAATCAGTGCATGAATGTACTGTGTCTAGACTGCATGGGCAGAGACATCAATAATAACACAATGTTCTAAATAAGCATAGAGAGAATGGAGCGAATACCAAATGGTGCAGGACGTCCACAAAATGTGGAACATGTTGATAGTAATACACGGTATTTCTATGTGACCTGTTTATGGTTGTCATTAGTGAGTTTATAGTCCACCTGTCAGTCATTGATCGGGCCGCTTTACTTACTATTGCATTGGGCCTCTCTGATGTAACAGAATCATGTTTAATCTATTTGGGATGTCACAAAAAGAGAGACAGATCACCCAGTGCAATGACACTGAGAGGACACCCTGAAACATGCTGTTTGTTTCTGCACTCGGGAACGGCTGTGATGGAGGGAGATGTCACATGACATGCTCACAGTGTGGACACAGTGAGGCCTCAAACGGTCCATCGACACTTAACCCCCCCCCACGATTATTCTCTTCTCCCCTCATCATTGTCCACTCATTCGCTCTATAGATTTCCATAGACATCTACAAGGAAGTATTACATGTTGTTACATTTTTCCTTCCAGCTAAGAAAAAAAACATTTTTTCTATATATTGTACGCATCATTTTATTACAATACTTTACACATATTATAAAGCGCCTTTATGAAAGCATGCTTGTGTGTTTAATCACTATTGGTTGTATTAAAAAGACATGATATCTGGCATGCCACTGAATGGTTCTGTGTTTATTTTAAACCTGTGATCGTTGGATCAGTAGCTCTCCACACCAGGCTGCCTTTGCGGTGCACGTGTCTTTCCTGTGGAGATGTGATGGCGGCGGTCGCGTGATGGTTCGGTGTCCGCGAGAACCAATAACAGCGCCGAACCGGCGGAATGTGGACACGTACGGGGAGCAGTGCGTTTTGCAGTTGCTTTGCGGTATTTAGTGACAGCGCCGAGTCCAATGGCAGCTGAGCGAAGTGGATTGTGGGGGACGTAGTCAGACAGCGGGGGAAAGACTACGAATCGAGCTGAGAGCCGTCAGCCCTCCTACTACACGTCCCAGAACACACCGCGGCATTTCAGCAGTGTGTGTGTGAGGCTGAGAGAGCGAGAGTGAGTGAGAGAGGTTTAGATTTAGGAATTCGTCTGCAAACTTGGTGCTGCAGTGTTACGGAAAAATGGTAAGTATACAAACTAAAACCCGGCCGTTTTGATGAACAATTGACTCATTAGCCATCAAACAACGCGGGCACACCGTTGGTGGTTAGCAGAGTTCGCCAAAGGCCGTTAGCAGCACTGATTGCTAGCAGAAAATGTACCAACAGCTAGCTAACTTAAGCTAGCAAAGGGGGCACTTCAGCTAGCTAACTATCGCAGATAAACGGCCGTTGACAAGATGTCTGTGGATAAGAACGCGCACCGTGTGCCGTCGTGTACAGCAGCTGCCTGGCTAAGCGCTGTTATACCACACTTCTTTATTGTTGGAACATTAAGCTAGCTGTCAGTATTCAACTTAGTTCCGTTCAGTGTGTGTGTGCGTGCGCGTGTTCCGCCCCCTCTCTGTGTGCACGCGCCCCTTTACGGGAATCTCCTGCACGGTGAAAAGCGTCAGTGACGCTGATGGAAGCGGATTAACGTCGCGGTGGTTACGTTACGTGGCCCTGACGTTAGACCCCCCGCATACTTTTGTGTTTACATCAGAACCCGGTGGCCCGGCTCGCTGGTTCTTCTCGCTGTCACTTTTTTTCCTCCCCCACTTCGCGTCCGCGCGGCTCCCTCCCTCTCTGCCTCCCGGCCGGGCGCGCGTGTGCGTGAGGGGTTGCAGATGCTCGTCACTTAGTATTTTCCCCTCATTAAAGTGTTGGTAGCACGCTGGATCAGTGAGACAGCTGTTTGGTGTTATTCTACAGCTGTGATGGCTTTGTGTCGGTCTCGCGAGGAGGGTCACGAACTTCAATGAGGGGTCACCAGAAAGGGCTCATTTATTTACAACGTGCAGTCTCAGTAGAAAGCTAGTTAGGAGGACTTTTCAGTTCAAATGTTATTGTCGTCCATCTTTTGCTGCTGAGTTTGTGCGTTTAGTTTTGATGTTGAAGCATTTGAATATGTCATACACATTATTATGATATCACTATTAACTATAATAAACCATCAGGTAAAGCAAACCTGGAAGTGTTTTGTAAATAATGAATGCAGCTCTCAGAACGCAGGTAGAATATTGATAACATTTCCACGGACGACCAAACTATTCTCATCACAACATTGATATTCGATCATTATGTCAAGTTCCAAACTACCGACTGAACTTCCTCTTTTCAGACCAAACGTGTGTATTGCATCTAATTTTCATCAATACTTATAAACAAATCGACAGACAATCTAGTTGAACAGAGGATACTGTATGTCCCGATGTCGGATTGTGTTGTGTTGTGTTGGGGGCCAATCGAGAAGGTCAGACTCATCTTAAGTAGCGTTCAGCTGTTCTGTAGCAACTGGCCGCCGCTCACATTTCTGGGACCAAGTGTTGTGTGTTATTTCTGTCGCTCTGTTAAAACACAAAGCAGACTCATGGTCAGCATTAAGTTTCCATCCTGGTTTCACTGGTACTCACAATATTGTGTCCCAATAGCAAACGTTGGTTTGTGGGTTTCGGTTTTGAGGCCTTGAGTTGTCTGTCGCCGTTCTGGCTCGTTGCAACGAGTGAAGGAAAATGACCGTATCCGGACTGCGGAGGCCAGAGACGCCTCACAAGGCTCTGGTCGTGGCAACGACCTGTCAATCGGCATACTCCTCTTTATGGACCATCATTTACTAAATGATCTTCACTTTGTAAAGAAGAAGACTTGGAACTAGTTGGAGAGCATAAACTCACGTTTACAATGTTTACTGAGGGAATAAATCAAGAGGGGGGGGCAATCGGAGTCGCCGCCGTCAGCCGGTTCGTTCCGAGGGGAAACGCCCACTTCACTGTCAGAACCTGGAGGATGTCACCTGATCCTTCAGTTTCCTCCTCACTACCACTTCTTCACCTTCCTTCCTTGTCCCCTTTCCTCCACCCAGGCCTAGCGGTCCAGCTAACTGTTTCCTGTTCATCCGTGTGTTCTTCTTCTTGCTGAGACTCCTCGCTGCACCCGATACTTCTGAGCAGCAGCCTCCACAGCCAGACCCCCCCACCTGAGTCTGGCCACAGGGTGGGCGACAATAGTGTGACTTAAGAGATATAGTGTGATGAAATGCCCAGAATACACTCATGTTGTGAGATGTATCACTGTGGTGATTACCCTTTACCTTTAATTCTATAGTATAACATTTCATGTTATCATCACCACCCTCCTTTCTTTGTAGCGCAGCAGGATGGAGGCTTCATTCGGCTCTACCTTCTCAGCTGTGGCACCTGGAGCAAAAGGTCGTAATACAAATAATATTCCCTTCAAGAAATGTTGTGTCCTTTTCTTTTTGCATCTGCATCTGCTTAAATTTTTTGTTGGGATTTTATTTGTGTTTTCAGCAGAAGGGTCCAGCAGCTACAAGCAGCACAGAAGAACTCCCTCCTCCTCAAGCACTCTGAACTACTCTCCCCGGGATGACGACGACGGAATGGTACACTCACACACAACCTTTTATGCTTCATTTCAACCCAGGTTAATGGGACTGAGAGCTCAACGACGTCAACATTAACTGAGAAGTTTTGCCAAGCTGATGGTTTGGCAGGGTTAAATTTATGAGTAAAAAGGGAGGTTTCCAGTGGTCCTGACTGAATTGGTGGCGGTTTGAATGGGATCTGACCTCCTCTCTCCACTGCCTGTCCTCCTCCTCCTAGCCTCCCATTACTCCTCGGAGGTCCGATTCAGCCATCTCAATCCGATCCCTCCACTCGGAATCCAACATGTCCCTGCGCTCCACCTTCTCTCTTCACGAAGAGGAGGAGGACACGGTATGACCCCCCCAGCACTAACGTACGTCACCACCAGCACTTAATGTGTTAAACGATCAATGTGTCTGTGTGCAGGAGCCCCAGGTGTTTGCTGAGCAGCCCTCCGTAAAGCTGTGCTGCCAGCTGTGCTGTAACGTCTTCAAGGACCCCGTCATCACCACGTGTGGGGTGAGTTCATGGCCGCCCCCGTCCAGCCTTTCCTCTCATTTAACTGGTGTCACATTAAGGCCGATGCCTCTACATGACTTTTTATTGGGCAAATCAGATGAACTAATGCCGGTCAGGAGATCCACCCCCCCCCCGCCTCCCCCTTTCCTCCTGTTTAGAGGCAAGGGGTGTCGTGGAGAATCAGTACCAGAGCTTAGCAGCCTGTCAGACGAACAGAACTCGGTACTGATTTAATCCGCCCATCCACTAGAATCCGCACACCCTTCACGTTTCAAATGACCACAGTTGAGATGAAGGGAGTTCGAGTGCTCCAAGATGGTTTTGTTACAATGTTTTCTAAGGAGCGAAATCATTTCATCCAGCTTTTGTTTCCTCCTCAGCACACCTTCTGCCGACGATGTGCCTTGACTTCAGGTGGGGCCTAAAACCTCTTCTTTTAGTCTGACTCCCGGAGCCGCCGCCCGCGTTGATCCCAACCTCTCGTTGGTGTGCTTCCTCCTCGCAGACAAGTGTCCCGTGGACGCCGCCAAGCTGACGGTCGTGGTCAACAACATCGCGGTCGCCGAGCAGATCGGAGAGCTCTTCATTCACTGTAAACACGGCTGCAGGGCTGCGGCCAGCGCGGCGGGAGGGGCGGCGGCCTCCCCCTCCGCGGTGGCTGGAAAGCCCGGGGGTTACGAGGTGGACCCCCTCGGCTGCCCGTTCACCATCAAGCTGTCCACGCGCAAGTAAGGGCCCGAGGGTTTGAAAAGCACTGAGCACGTTGCACAGAGAGCTGTCGCTGACGGTGTCCCGCCTCCGCAGAGAGCACGAGGCCAGCTGTGACTACAGGCCGGTCCGCTGCCCCAACAACCCGTCCTGCCCCCCGCTGCTCACCATGAACCTGGAGGCTCACCTCAAAGAGTGCGAGCACATCAAGTGTCCACACTCTAAGTATGGGTGAGTGCCGCGCTTTGTGTTTAGGCCCCGTGCGGCGCTTTGGAGAATGTTGTATAACACCTTTTCTTACCGTCCGTTTTTGGGCTTTTGGTTTTTTTCCCCCCCCCCCCCCCCCCCCCCCCACCCCCTCCCCAGCTGTACGTTCATCGGTAACCAGGACACTTATGAAACCCACCTGGAGGTGTGTAAATTTGAGGGCCTGAAGGAGTTTCTGCAGCAGACTGATGACAGGTGAGAAGATTGGATTGAGTGCTCAGCATTATTCAACGATGTTTCTGTGTCTGACCTGTCTGACCTTTGACCCGGTTCAGGTTCCATGAGATGCAGCTGACTCTGGCCCAGAAGGACCAGGACATTGCTTTCCTGCGCTCCATGCTGGGCAAACTGTCTGAGAAGTTGGATCAGCTAGAGAAGAACCTGGAGCTCAAATTTGGTGAGCGGCAGTAAGAAGGTTGTTCTTCTGTTTTCCTATTCAGCCAAAAGGAGCTCGGTACACAAAGTAACGTGTAAAGTTACTGCACTTTCTGCATGTACTTTCCCTTTAGCAGAGGTGTTAGCGCTTATCTTCCATTCAAGTTACTCTAACTGGAAATGGAGACGTTTTTGGCACATGGCAGATTCTAAATGATAGAATCTCTTCATAGACCGGATACATTTTATGACAAATTACACAAAGCCGCTTCTAAAGGGGAGACGTGACACCGTGTGAACATCAAGCTTTCAGCATGCGACACAAATATGGGAAGATTGAGATCACGGGCTCGAGGCGAAAATCCTCATTGCAGGAGAAGGTCTCCTTTTCAAATGAGAAGATAACATAAGTTCAAATAATAAAATCTCACTTTCAGAATGAAAAAAGGATTGTTTGTGATCTGCGTCAGTGCAGACGAAGCTGGTTTGTGCGTCCCCTCTTGTCTGGTCTCTCCTGCGCTGCTCCACAAGAGGAGGCTCCTGGAACCGGCTGGTGGACGAATACCAAGTGATAACTTGGGTGTGTGTGTGTGTGTGTGTGTCATTCAGATGTGTTGGATGAGAACCAGAGTAAACTCAGCGAGGACCTGATGGAGTTTCGTAGAGATGCGTCCATGCTCAACGTAAGTGTGTGTGCACCTTGCAAAGAGGAACAAGAACATGTGTGTGTGTGAATAAGATTTAGAAAGAGCACCTGAGAGATTGAGTGGCTGTAGCTCAAAGTGTCGTCTCTCTGCAGGATGAGTTGTCCCACATCAACGCCCGGCTCAACATGGGAATCCTGGGATGTACGTACCGTCCTCGTCCTTTTTAAAACCCTTTGTTTGTCTCTTCATTTTTACTCACATCTCTCAGCGGGGAAAACCTCGTGATAAAATCTTCTGTGGTTGTTCTTTCCTCCTCTCCTTGCTCCCACTCACCGTCCCCCACCGGCCTCTATCTGTCCCTTTCTCTGTCCCCCTCCGCTCCCATTCGATTCCTCCCTTGTTTTGCTTCCGATGAAAACCACATAGCAGTGTTTCCCTTCTCTGTGCCTGTGTGTAGCGTACGACCCCCAGCAGATCTTCAAGTGTAAAGGGACCTTCGTTGGCCACCAGGGTCCCGTTTGGTGTCTGTGTGTCTATTCCACCGGAGACCTGCTCTTCTCGGGGTCCTCAGATAAGACGATCAAGGTAGCGTGACGCAACATTAGCGATGTGTGAAAAAGAGGCGTCGTGTTCCTTTAATGGCGCCGCAGAGTGCCTTCAAACTCATGGAACACTCAAACTCCCCATGTAGGAAAACACTCACACCGCATCGTCGCCTTTTTCCACTTCCAGAGACATTGTGATGACCTGCCCCACAACCTTGTATTGTAATGACGACCTGGAGAGCGTATTATTATTATTATTATTATTATTACTCCTAGTTAAGAACCAGAAAACACCTTTAGTAGAGTGAGCGGAGGGTTTGTAGTAAACATATATCAGTTGCAGCATGAACTTTATTCACAATACTTCCACCACTTTACCGTCATTCAGAAGGGAAACTGAAGCGTCATGTATTAGTGTGTGTGAGTGACCTTTGAGATCACACACGTCTGTCCAACGGGTTACACTCCACTCCGACCTCGGCCTTCAAGAGGCCCAGAGATGCGCACGCACACACACACACACACACACACGGCCGGTACGTTGACTTATTTCTCTCCGTGTCCACTCTGGCCCTCAGGTGTGGGACACCTGCACCACCTACAAGTGTCAGAAAACCCTGGAGGGACACGATGGCATCGTTCTGGCGCTGTGCATCCAAGGGTAACGCAACGCACACAAACGCATAAGCTGCATGCCAACTGGGAACGAGCATGACTCAATGGTATTTGTTTCCATAGAAACCGGCTGTACAGTGGCTCCGCGGATTGCACCATCATCGTAAGTCGCCTCCCTGCTTCCTCTTTCTTGGAAGGCGAACTTGCACAAACGTTTTCAGATGTGATAGAAGTTGTGTTTTTTTGTCTCGTCTGTGTGCGTTTTGCGTAGGTGTGGGACATCCAGACCCTGCAGAAAGTCAATACCATCCGTGCCCATGACAACCCTGTATGCACGCTGGTCTCCTCCCACAACATGTTGTTCAGCGGCTCCCTCAAGGCCATCAAGGTAGCTTAGTCAAAATAAGGTGATCGTATTAAAGCTGGGGAGTCATTTTCTGAGTAGACCTGACGTCAAGCACAGGTCCAACATGAGGGATACTAAATCATTTAGTGCACCGATGTGGATGCATTTGGGAATTAAAGCCGAGCACAGATGAGACGTCGTGTAAGTAAATCTGACTTCTCGGATAAAATAATGACCAGGAAATTGTCTCTATTATGTCTACACACTTTGATATAACAAGTGTGGCTCAGAGAGCTGCGAGGCCTGCGCCCGTCGTCATGGTTACAAGCGAGTGAGAATAGGATGACTGGTGCTTTGTGAGATGGTGAAGTTCCTTTCTTACCCAACTAGAACCCCCCCCCCGCCCACCCCTCACCCAGTGACATCATCACTTAACTTTATTCACTCTAACTAATTTAAAGCTGTATTAAAAATTGACCAAAAAACAAGCCGGTAACTGACATTATTAGATGTAAAGTTCTTATTATTAGCACTTGATATGTCCCGACCCGCGCTCTCCGCTCTGCATCTGCAAAACTACTCGTCCCTCCCTCACTGAGAGCAAAACACTCGACTAGATCTCCACTCTTCGCTGTCCTTGCTCCGAAATGGTGGAACGAGCTCTCTGAAGACACCAGGACCGCAGAGAGCCTTCACATCTTCCACCGCAAACTAAAGACACACCTCTTCAGACTCTACCTCGACTAAAAGACTAACAAATTGTAGCACTTAAATTGTACTTGTAACGTCACTCATCTATAGCAAATTGTAAATTGGCTTATTTGATGGAATTGCACTTTCTTGTTTCTTGTTCTCCTGAGTTTGTACCCTATGGTTGAATGCACTTATTGTACGTCGCTTTGGATAAAAGCGTCCGCTAAATGACATGTAATGTAATGTACTAAGCACGCTCATGTCCCATCGTACTCATCGGCTGTTATTTCTTCATGCTGATCTTCTCTCTGGTGTACTTTGGAGCTTGACCCTTCCTCCTCGTGCTTGGCGTGTTTTAGGTGTGGGACATTGTCGTCACGGAGCTGAAGCTGAAGAAGGAGCTGACTGGTCTGAACCACTGGGTTAGAGCACTGGTGGCCTCCCAGAACCACCTGTACAGCGGCTCATACCAGACCATCAAGGTAGGAGGAGGCATCACCGTGATCAGTATTCTTAATGTTCTACAGGCACACAGTGCAAATTCCTCCTGACGGTCCAATCACAGCGAAGCAGCTGCTGTCCTCCACGCGCTGCTTCGCTCCCTAGTTTGACTTTAAACTAACTCACCATTAAGCGGAACGCCGTTCACAGGATGTTTTGCTGAGGGAATTATTGTGACTCAGGCTGCCTACTATGCAGTTAAAAAGGCTTTTTAACTTGCTGTCAATGAGACAAAAGCAGTAGAGCAGTGTTTGATCATAAAAGCCTTTTTGCAAGCAATTGACTTTTTTTTTTTAGTTCAAATTTCTTTGTCTGAATTAACTGAGTTAATACTTTGAGTTTCTCCTGTAATGAATCGCTCGCTCTGCACTGCTGCTCGGCCCATCAGCTGCTGTCGCATGTTGGTAAATGAAAGCTCAGCTGTGACATGAGACATGTGTCGTCTCTCTGTCTCATTGTTGCGTTTCGTGGGCTGTTTTATTGCTGCATTGTGATTTAGACAGGAAGACCCGCTGTCATCTCCATGGCAACACAATCGACAACTTGCAGCTGTTGAGCAGCTCACTTTTACCCATAACCCCTCTGTCTCTCGCCCCTGTCAGATTTGGGACATCCGCTCTCTGGAGTGCGTTCACGTCCTGCAGACCAGCGGGGGCAGCGTCTACTCCATCGCCGTCACAAACCACCACATCGTCTGCGGCACCTACGAGAACCTCATCCACGTAAGATGAAGCACTGCTGCATTCTGGGTCCAATTATCCTCCGCTGTTGTGTTCTGTCCCCGCCTCACATTATATTATAAATAACGTGAATACAGTGTAAATGTCCACAGGACGTTAATGTCCCCATTAACGGCCAGCCAACATGTGACCGCTTGCTTTGTCTCCCTAACAAACGAGAGGAAAGGCGCTCTGGTGCGTGTTTGTGTGATGCGGTCCGTCTTCTGTCCAGGTGTGGGACATAGAGTCCAAAGAGCAGGTGCGGACCCTGACGGGCCACGTGGGGACCGTCTACGCCCTCGCCGTCATCTCCACTCCGGACCAGACCAAAGTGTTCAGCGCGTCCTACGACCGCTCACTCAGGGTGAGGACGGACAGCGCGTCCCTCACAGACACACACGGGACACTGCGTTCACGTTTCTCTTTCCATCGTTGTGATCGTGTGTGTGTGTGTGTGTGTGTCACCAGGTGTGGAGCATGGACAACATGATCTGCACCCAGACTCTGCTCAGACACCAGGGCAGTGTGACGGCTCTGGCCGTCTCCAGGGGACGCCTCTTCTCTGGAGCCGTGGACAGCACCGTCAAGGTACCTCCACCTGCTGCTCCTGCGTCCCTCCATCTGTCCTTCGGAGTCATTGTTCCATTTGTTCATAACTCCAAATGTGCTTTTTTCATAGCTGTTGACTACATCTCTCTATCTGTGATCCATGATCTTCACGTTTAACAGTATTTCCATCTTCTGCTTTGTTCGCTCTTGTAACTCCGCTCCCTCTTTCAGGTGTGGACGTGCTGAACAACCCGCTTGTTCTTCAGGAGTCCAGTCAACTCTTTTATCAATGGTTCCCTCTCCACATGATCTCCTCCCCCACACCTGTTTCTTTGATTGAGATTCAAACCCCACAGACCAACAACAACAACAACAACCGCCGCTTCTGTGGCGCCGCGCCGGGAAGCGCTTCAGGAAGTGATGCTTTTAAAACTTCAAACGAGCCGACCGGCGCCGTCGACTGGATCATCGGCCTCGAGGGTCAACTCAAGGTCACGCTCCTGACGGGACCTCAGCCCCAGTGCATTATGGGTCACAAACAGGAGGAGCAGGCTGAAAGTTTCCCAAAACCCACATTGAAAAAAGCTGCTGCGCTCATGTTAAACCCAGCTTATGAACTCCGGACCTGCTTCCTGCGGAAGGACGCGGCGTGTTACGCGATGCCTCGTACACGCCGCCCAGAAAAGTCTCCGGGCTGGTTTCACACACGGGGAGCGACGCCACACCTCCAGGAATGAATGTCATGCTTCAAACGCACGGACGGCACAGACGCGTGAAAAAGAAAACGCGAAGATGAGGTGCCGACTACCGGTGAGACCCGACCCACGCGTCAGCTCGGGGGGCAGAGCTTGTACGAGGTTCTTATTTACAGTCGGTCTGAGGTCACGCTTCTCAAAGCAGAGCAGACCAACGTGTCCCCTTTGTGGTGGAACCGGCCTGAATGAAACTACCTTTTAAGAAGAGAATGATGGATGTATAGATTTACCGACTTTTATAAGCGTGCCATGACAGAGCTGTATCCAGAGCCATTTAGGGTTGTACAGGTGTATAAAGTGAGATGTTGGACCCGCCCACGACGATGACTCACACCGACCTCCGTCACGGGGGCTCTGACGGCCCGTGGAGGTTGTTGTTTATATGTGAGTGTATTTCAATGAGTGCCAAATGTCCAGATGGAAGGAAGGAAAGGTATTGTCTTTTTGTCCCCTCTTTCTGCCCCAAATGAACATAACCACAGATTCATGTTTTATAACTGTAATACTCGACCCTCAAAAGTCACAAATGGCAAATTAAAAGAAAGCGCTGTTGAGCTAAAGTCCCGCTTTCCTGGATTATGGTTCCAAACCCATATTGGGTTAAAAATAGTAAAATAGACTAATTTTAAGACCATGTACATCCATTTTGACTGGTGGGCTAAATGCGGTTTTTACAGATGTTCTCAATGATGTTGCCTTTATTTAGATGCAGAATGTAGCCTCAGTGAAGCGTCGCTGCGCTCACAGTTCCAGTGATGCCGTGTATACTTGTAATCATGTAAGCCTGAGTTGATCATTGATCAATAAAACTGTCGTACACTTTCAGAGCTCTTGTGTTTCATTTCAACAGGCGCCCTGCAGTATAGTGTCTCATGAAAAAGTCCTTTTATTATACGTCATGAAACCAGTCGAAGCTTCCGATCATGCATAAAACATAATGTAAGTCAATGAAAAGCTGATGTAAAATATATTAACAGACGGAGGAAGAGCTTTTCATCGGTTTTATATTTATTTTATGTCTTGTCTTAATGTTTTTATACATTCTTTTCGCCAACTTCCTTATTAATTTAACATTTGTAATGTATAACAGAAATGGTTTCACTCTTTCAAATCTGGTGACAGATACTTTTGATTGGGAGAGAGATGTATTCATGTGTATTTATGGGCCGATGTCGCTGTTTTATCACCTTCAGGTGCAGCTCAGCCGATTGGAGGAACTCCGTCACTCGGAGGGAATATAATATTTATTTTGTTAAGTCACAGCTTTTTCCAGCAGGCAGACACCCAAGTTCAAGTCACAATACAAAGAGGACAGAGAAGTTTGTATAGAACATTTATTTATTCAGTGCAGATGGCCATACGATGCAGTCACTACACACACACACACACACACACACCCACACACACACACACACACACACACACACACACACACACTCACACGCTCACAGGTTTCATACAGTCAATAGCAGAGCAACACAAAACGCACACACAGCCTCTCTCAAGCGTTCACATACAGTCACTGCAGAGCGGAGGAGACCAGTCTGGTTTCGGTTCAGAGAAGCACAAATAAAAACAGCTTGTTTTTTCTTTGAAAAAAAAAGAAAAAGAAAAGATGTACTTTTGTTCCACAACATGTTTGACCATCTGTGTTGTGTTTTTTTTAACCTTTGTATCCTGACCACAATCCCCACACGCCCAAACACACAAATAATGTCTCCTACGTGAGGGATGACCAAAATGAGACCTGCGGGCCGAGGTCTCTGAGCAGTGGGTTTGAGTTGACCTTTGACCCCGGTGCAGCCTCTGATCGGGGGAATTTGCTGTGATTCATTCATGTGCTACAAAATAGATTTGAAATGCTTTCTGCTTGGAAATTATACATCAGGCTGTAAAAAGTCAGTCAGATCCCAGATGGCACCAGATGTGAAACAATTTAAATATTCCCCTACATTTATTACACATCTGGTGACCGCTTCACCAACTACGGTGACGGAGGTTCTACTGGTTGGTGTTCATCACGGGCATGTTTTTAGATTTAAACATTTATTTTTTTGCAGAGAGTTAGATGAGGAGATCGATGTACATTTAACTGGAGTTTGATGTGAAGCTACTGCTAGCCGCTACGTAGCATAGCTTAGCACAAAGCTGGAAACGCATACTTCTTGCCTGGCTCTGGCTAAAGATGCTGCAACACCACAGCGGCGTTTTTACCTCAGCAACTGTATGAATTAAACAAACACTACGCATTTTTAGAGAGAGCTTTTGCCCCATTTACAGACTTCTATATTTTTAGCTTCATACATTCTGCACAGACGTGTACAGTGTCAATCTTCTCATCTTACTCCAAACTGGACAGCAAAATAGCTCATTTTTATAACATGTAGCCGTTATTAACTAATGTTCTGACCAAACTGAGATGTTGCCAAAATTGGAAAAATCAGACTGTCCAATCAGTCAAGTGGACCGTTTAAAAAAAATTCCAAATTAAAACAGATGTCCGATGTTACTGGTTGTGAATAACTAGACATGGAGCGGTGCAAAGATGGGAACTGAGTTGAGTGGTGATGATCTAAATATTACAACCCACCCATGGGAGGGGAGGTGGGGGGGGGGGGCACAAACTGAGGGAGCAAAACAGAAAGAGAGAGATCATCATATATTCTATATACGCCACCTACTGTATTGTAGTCAGACCAAAATCACAAAGCAAGGCACATGTTTCAAAGAAAACAAAACAAAAACAGAACATTGCATCTGAAATCATACAAAAAAGAACAAAACGCAACAACAGGAATTGCTTGTATTATACACATAGCCACACCTGACACATGTAGGCAGAACAAAAAAAGGATCCTGGAAACATCCCGACATGGTATCCTACAATGATTCATCAGCTCGGACCACAGTAGCATGGAGAAGCAAACCGACACTCAGGTTACACCTGTTTACTTTTGAAAATAGCCTTCAGGATGACACACACATCATAAATACATTTCTTTTTTTTTGTTGCAAATATCCATATATATAATCTCTATGTGATCATAGTTTAAATACCACAACTGTTCTCTGAATTCTTGGTCATGTATACGAGGAGAACCTGGATTCAGTCTTCGTAGGCCGAGTGTAAATTTTTTGTTGGTTTTAAAGGGTCACTCCGCTCATTTTACTAACTTATCTTAGTTAGTACTCAGCTGGGCAAAAGGTTTTAACAATGTCCTTTAATTAGTTCTGTCAAACCTGAAACAAATACTAACGTTATAGTGACGTCATCAGGGTTGTTATTTTGTAACTGAGAGCCCGCCCTCCATCACTGCATGATGGGAAGTGTAGTATGTTCTCCTGGAGCCTGACCCCCACCGTGCCCCTTAACGTGTGATAAAACAAACCCTGGAGTGCCCCTTTAAATGTTGCACCAACACAAAGCCTCCAGCTCTGCAGAACTCCGATTTCCTCCATCCGCACCCTTTAACATTTTTCCATTTTTGTCACGGCAACGCACTGCTCAGTCACCATGGCGACGCCAATAGAGAAGGATGAGGGTAAATATGTAGATTGTCATGGCAACGCGGGGTGGTTGGGAGAGCGTTGGGAGAGATGCGGCTCATGTGAATGCAGCGTATTTAAAGTAGGAATGCAGCTGTACTGGACTTTATCAGCTTACTGGTAACAGTCAGAAGTAGAATCCACAACAAAAGGATTCACTCGATCAGACCCGAGTGTTTCCACGGTCACTTCGATTCACTCACTCGTTCAAACACAATCTGACCTCTAGTATTCTATAAGAGGAAGACATCCGAGTGTTGTGTGTTGTAGTGTGTCTGCACTGATACGGGATCAGTAATCTGCATCAGAGTCCACGAATCCCTGCTTTAAAAACTAATTCCCCTTCTGCGCCCATTGAACTACACCCGAAGGTGGAGTCGTCTTTCTGAGTGGGGGCCTGGAGCTTGTTGCTTTAGTACTTTTCTGAGACCACAGCAGTGATCAGGAAGGGTCCGGGTCGAGGGGTCGAGCTCAGTGCAGCGGACACACTGCCTGCGTCCAGGCCAACCTTTGACCTGTCTTCATGAAAAAAACGTACTGTAACACCCACCCGCCTCGCTGAAAGCCCCCCCCCCCCCCAAACATCCTAAAAGTCCTCCTGTACAACCTGCTGCAGCTTCTTCTGACATTGACATTGTGCGGGCTCCCCACTGTGTGTGTGTGTGTGTGTGTGTGTGCGAGCCGGCTGTGTGGGTCATTGTGCTTCTCCTGTAGGTCTGCGTCCATGGAGGGGACGGGGGGGGGGGGGGGGGGGGTTAGGATGCAGCAGAGTGTATGAACGCTGTCAGAACTGGAAATGTGATTCCGACAAGCTCACGTGCACACACGTCTGTCACACACACACACACTCATACTCTCACACACACACACACACACACTCAGAGCTGAGTATTCTCGTTTTGGTCACGAATTAAAAATCTTTGCACCAAGTCCTTTACATCGTCACAACACCAGAGGTCACCATTCCACACAGAACACCAAACCAAAGCGATTCATATTATATATATATATTACTGTGCTAATGCAGGACTGTTTTCAGTAGATATAAACTCTCCATGCGTAGAATGTACACGTACCACACTATGATTCGTCACACAGTTGGCTTTTCAATCAGTACTAGTTTACTTTATTTGTTCACCGTCGTAGCTTCAGAGTTCTGCAGTCCGTTTTGTTGCATTTCTTCATCACTTTTATATTTTTCTCTCCTCATCATACGTGTTTTTAACCTTCTCTCTTTTAATGTCTCTCTCGTTATTACTTCTTCGTTCTGGCGCTCTCTCTGCCACGTGTCTGTCCAGGCCGGAGCCGCCGCCGCTCCATCGGAATCCGGATGGTCGGCGACGGGGGAGCAAGAGGAGGACGGGCGAGGAGTGTGAAGGGGAATGAGCCTGGCAGAGAGAGAGAGGCGAAGACACGGAGAGAGAGAGACGCGGGGAGGCGTCGCCTCTTGTGTCGTCAGGTGCAGCGTTGCCATGGAGACACGCTGACTGGTTTAGGGTGGCTACTCCAACATGGCGTCCAGCTGGTCGGCCAGGTCATCGAACATGCTGCCGATGTCGTCGAGGATGCTAACGGTGGTCTTCTGCTCATCCACGGAGCTGAACGCACACACACACACACACACACACACACACACACACACACACACAAGCAGAATATTATACCAACAGACCTAACCAAAGCTAACACCTATGGCGCTCATCTACTGCCAGTGCTAAATAAGTGTAACAACTTCCCTTTGATTCACTAACAGCAAATAAAAAACGTACAAGTTCAAAAGTTGTGAAAAGGTATCTCACAAAAATGACGAATACTAAAGCAAAACAACAAAAAGATGCATGAAGATACATCCTGTCTGTACCAAAAATAAATCCCTCAAGCTTCGATTGGCAGCCGCCTCCGATCTGGGGGGGCGGGACCAAGTCGTCGAGTGTGAACTAGACATCAGCGTCATGTAGAGATCAAATAGCTGCAGATGTGCTTAAAAAAAAAAACTTAAACCGTATCAGAACGTTAACGGCGTGATTATTAGTGTGTGTGTGTGTGTGTGTGTGTGTGCACTTACTCCTCGTGCAGCAGTATCTTATCCTCCACAGCCTGCAGCGCCGCGGCCAGCGACGCGCTCGTCTCCTCCAGCTTCTGATGCACCAACGAATCCGCATCAAGATCCGGCGTCGTAGCAGCAGGCGCCGTGACTCCGCCTCCCGCCATCCCGCTGTCGACCGACACCCCGCCAATGGAGGAGCGGGGGGGCTTGACAGGCGGCGGGGTCGGGCTGGGGGTGGCGGGCGTCTGTGGTGTGGTGGGGGTCTGCGGCGTGCGGGGGCTCGGGGGGGACGGGCTCAGCGGCTTGGCGTTGGGCGGCCCGGGGATGTGGGAGGGAGGGAAGCAGGGCGGCGAGCTGGTCTGTCGGGCCACGGCCGGGTGCTGTTGGACCGGGGCCGGGCCCGGGGAGGACGGGCTGGTCATGGAGTGGATGAGCTTGGCCGGTTTGGGTGCGGTGGGCGGGGGCGCCGGCTTAGGCGAGACAGGTGGAGGAATCTTCTTTCCTTCCACTGCAAAAGAAATATCAGAACGGATCAGTGGCTTCTGGACCCGGAAGTATCCCGTCTGTAACCCGCTCCGATTAGGGGTCGCTTAGTCGCCCCTAGAGGTCCGTGCGTTTCCTCCGTCCCTTTCTGACACTGTGTGGACAAGCAGGTGCAACACGTCAACACCTTTGAGGTCTTTTCTCTCTGCCCTCAACTGTAGCTGTTTGTCTTTGCGGTGGGACAAAGTAACACACAAATAAGGACAGTCTTTACAGGCTGGGTTGTCGAAGAGCGTCTCTATTGCTTGAACCCTTTCACATGTTTGTAATGAACCTTTCCCACGTTGGAATTGAGAGGCTTGTGCAGCTTTCCTTAACTTACATTTTGTGTAGTTAGAGAAGCAGCGAACACACGGGTCGATTTTTACTAGAAAGCACGTGCACATTGAGCTTCAAACGATACATCAGTAAAGACTCGCCATTTCTTTTCTAAAATTCACTTCCTGGTTCCAGATTGATTTCTGCGTTTAGGCAGGAATAAAAACACACAATCATAGCGGCGGGTACCTGGGCTCCCAGGCGTCCCGGGGCCGGGCAGGGGGACTCTCTTGTTGGAGACAGGGTGCGGGGGAGTCAGCGGGCCGGCCTGTCTCTTTATCTGTGCCACCACAGGCTTGGGGGAGACGGGGGGCTTCGGTTTCCTCGCGGGACCTCCTTCATTCCCGACCGGAGCTGCTTGGTCCACGCTGTCCCGCCGCGGCGCTGCGCTCGCCTGCGGCTGCGGCTGCGGCTGCTCGGTCACTCCGGTGTCGGACGGCGGGCGGCGCTTCACCGTGGTCGTGCCGTTCTGGTAGGGCGCGGGTTGCGTGGTGTTGGGCGGCCCGCCCCCCGGGGGCTCTCCGTTGGCGGCCAGGTCGGCGTAGCCCTCGGGCTCCTTGTCGCGGCTCTTGGGCCGCCGCTTGACGGTGGACGACTCCTGCAGGGTGAAGTCCGAGCCGTTGGGGTGGGGCTTGGAGCTGCGGGCCCGTCGCTTGAAGGTCGCCGTGGCCTCGACCCTGGAGATGTCCTCCTGCGCGGCGCCTCCGTCTCCCTGGGGACCCTCGGCGTCCCCCTGCAGACAAACACAAAATACACACTAACGGAAAAATTCATACATTCGTGACAAGAGGCAGTTTTTGCACAAACAGTCAAAAAACATCGACAGAGATGAATGAATAAGACAAATAGAGCTCACAGAACACAGAAGCGTCACTGTGGATTTATAATACATGGAAGCACATTTAGCTTTAGCACGTCGCATCCGATAGACCAACATGTAAATATAGACAGCTACCTGTCCTTCTCCTTCTCCTCGACCCTGGCGCCGGATGGTCAGGCTTCCCTCGTCCGCGAACGGCAGGTTCTCCGACGAACTGCCCGCCGAGCCGGGGTGGGGCGAGGACGGGGGGTTGGGGGCGGAGCAATTTTCCGGGAGAGGGGCGTCTTCGGGCTGGACGGCGGGAGACGGAAGGAAGCGGGAGTCGGCTGTTCGCGCCTGGCAGCCGCCACCAGCTCGCTGACCGGGCCACTAATGGTCCGCCGCCGGTTCACCACTTCGCCGTCCAGGCCGATGGCGTCGCGCGTCTTCCCCACCTGGTGAACACACGCCGCGCAGCGCGGCGGTCACTAACTGCATGCTGGTACATTGGACATATTGAGCGCATAAAGTCCTGAAACTAGAATACCTGCAGGAGATCTTTTGCAGCGGCATGCCTTTGGCCCCGCCTCCAATAGAAGACATCTCCAACATGGCGGCGATGCTCCTCACACTACCCACGCTGCTCGTCTCGACGGAACCGCCCCCCACGGACATCCCCAGGTCGCTGGCCCGCCGCTGTTGGAGGTAAGGAACGTCCAGCATCCCCCCTGTGGTGGCGAGCTCGTGCGGCTGCGCGTTGGCCTCCGTCAGGTTGGAGTTGGAGGTGGAGATGGCGGAGCTGGAGCGCTTGGGCGGCGGCGGGGGCGGCCCTTTCTTCTTCTGGCGCAGGGCAAAGGGCTGCGTGTGGTAGCGGTTGAGGGTCTTGTCCTGGTTGCGCACCGAGTGGCTGCGGCTGACGCGGTGGGTCACCGTCGCGTATTTGACTCCGTCCCCTCTCACGGCGCCACAGGCCGGACCTCCCGCCACCTCGGCCTCCCCCCCTCCCTCACGCCCCTCTCCTCCCCCCGCCCTCTCGTCACACTCACCGTCCGAGGCGAGCGTATCGGTCCGGGGTGTCCGCGCTTGTTCTGGAGCGCCGAAGACTCCCCCCCTTCCCCCTCGGCCAGCTCCGCCTCCGGTGGGAGGCAGAGGAGGGGGACCCGCGGGGGCGGCTCCTCCATCACCTCGGGGGGGGCGGGCTGCTGTTGCTGGGGACCCGGCGGGCCGCGTTGGGTCGGGGACTGAGGGGGTTGGGAGCGCGGCGACTGAGGCCTCTCCCCCTGGATGAACTGGGGGCACGGCTTGTGTTTGGCCTGCGGGGACGCTGTGCTCTGGACGGAGGAGGTGGAGGAGGAGGAAGATGAGGTTCGGGTCTTGGTCGGAGTGTGAGGGGGCGTGTAGGGCGGGGCAGGCTGCGAGTGGGGGTGACGGTGTTTGCCTTGAGAGGAGACACTCCCTCTGTGGGAGGAGTTACTCCCCTGGCTGCTCTGCTGCCTCATAGTCCGCGCCTCCTTCTTAGGTGGCGCAGTGCCTCCTCCCCCTCCGCCTGCCGTCACCTCCTCCTGGTCTCTGCTGCGCGTTCGCTGAGCTTTGACCTCCTGACCCGGCTGGGTCATGGCGCTCTGTAGCTCGGTGCTCAACTCGCTGTCCTGGAAAGTGCTCAACTTTGGAGACGTGACCTCTAAGGAAAACAGAAAGAAACGCTTGAAAAGATCAAGATCAATAATAAAATAAGGGACTAGGACGTATCGTTAGAGGTCATCACAGAACATTTGCGTCATCTTCAGTCTGTTCCGCTCACCGTCTAGAGGCGGACCGTCCGCCGACATGACGTCCTGCTGCTGTGTGATTGGCGGCGGCTTCTTTCTCAGGGAGCCGCGCTGCATTTCGGCCAGCCGCTTCACCGCCAGCATCAGCTTCTTCTGGTGGCCTAAAGCATCAACAGCAGGATTGAACAATCACATTTCATGTTTAATTAAGCTCGCAGCGAATTCCCGTGCACTGATTGGTGGTCATACGTTATATTATGGCTGGTTTACGTAGTCATCAATTAACTCCACACTGATTTCATGGTGCCACAATGTGTCATTGTGTAACTCTTACCTGTACAAGTGAAAGTGCTTAACTTGCTTTTGCTCCGATTCATCAGCTACATGTTAACGTGGCCCAGGCCTCCTGTGTACGCTACATATCTGTTATATCTGTGCGTCTTACCTAGTTTGATGATGCCTATTTCCTGTAGGTCCTCCCAAGTGATGTCCGTGATGAACTCGATGTTCTCATAACCGTTCTGCACCAACACCTGGTGGTACTGGCTCAAACCCACGGCAGACAGCCACTCTGCCAGATTGGCCTGCAGGAAGATGGAGAACACGGCGGCTCAGCGGGCCGGTACCTCGCTCACTGTGTGCGCGGTGAGCCGTACTCACCGGTTTGTGCTCAGGCAGCCACTCGCTGACACTTAGTTTGTTAATCTCAGACGTCATCTTCTTTCTGTGACCTGGTTTGGTGATTCCGATCGCCGTCAGATCCTACACACACACACACACACACACACACACACACACACATACACACACAGTAAGATAACGTTGTGGCAAATTCAGACTTTTTCTCCAGAAAGTGAATTCAAATCTCCCCGAGTCTCTCTCTCTCTCCATCTGTGTCTCTCTCTCTCTCTCTCTCTCTCTCGCCCACACAAACGGAGGAAAACTTGCAACACAAAGAAGCAAGTGACAGCATGACATCGGACAAAAGCCTTTGCCAGTTGAGAGTAGAACAGAAATGTAAATGATAAGATAAGCAAAGGAAAAGAAATGTCTGCAGTGAAAAGGATGCAAAGAATCCACGTGTTTCTCTGTTGTCCGTAAACAAGCTCATGTTTAAATACTAAAGCTAAAGTGTATTTATTTGATATCTTGATCAGGTAATAGACACACGGCATCATCCTGTCATCGTTGACTTCTGTTGTGTGAATCTCAGCGGTAGTCGAGGTGGACAAACGAAAACACACTTTAATGATCCCCCTCCACACTATAATACGAAACATCTCTGACAGCAAAACCCTTTTAACCTCAGCTCTGAAGCCGCATGCACAGCTGCAGTGTCTGTACATCTACAAACAATGTATGTGTGCTATAAATGATTTGTATATAGGTGAGAGTGGCACAGCGTGGAAGGTGATGGGGGGTCATGAATGCATGTCTGAGAGTCACGCCTGGTGCCATTCACTGTGACAGTGTGTTCTGAATATCATCTTCAGTGATCGTAGCACTGCTTTTATTCCCCAGTATGGGTCAGGCCACAAACACGATGGATCCTAGCTTTCCCACAATGCAACTCAATAGCCTCATTCATTGGGCCCTGCTTGTCCACATCTTTCTAACTCCAAACCCCAAATTCGTAGAATGATGTAGATGTAACCAGGACGACCCCGCTGACCCCCCTGTGATCGCAGCACGCGGCCCTGGTCAGCCTGGCCAGAGAGCATTTCAGCAGCCGTTTCGTGATGGTCTTCAATGACAGAGAAGCTGCTTTCGTGTTCCTAATTGCGTTTTTTCCGTTATATGTGCATAACGCAAGTGTTCAAAAAAAAAAAAAAAAGACACCGCGTTCGATTCCACTCTCACGCCTGGATGGTAAATATTAAGCGAGCACTGCGCCAATTTACAACTTGCAAATTGGGAGAACAAACTGATATTTTTGCTAAGCTAAGCTAACAGGCTGCGAATGTTGCTTGAAATCGACCAAACAGAATAGAGAGTCGGAGTACACTCACATGTTGAATTTACTCATACGGACGGGGAGGAGGAAGGGGGGGTCGGGGGGGATAAATGCTGCTCATTCGAGGGTTCTTATAGGAAATAGCATACATGCATCTGGGAAACATCAAGGACGGCACCAATCAAAGTCGTGCAGACTGGTTTCCATCGTGGTCCTGGGGAGGGGCATGTGACCTCTGGGGTTCGGGGGGAGAACGGGGGGGGATTCGGGTGCCTTACCTCCGGGGTCATTCGGCTAATGGTGGGCAAGTCATACCCAGCGCCCAGGAAGTTTGGTGCGTAGACCTGCAGCTGAAAGTCGCTCAGCCATTGGACAACGGCCTCTGAGCTCTACGGAGAGAAGACAGGGGGCATGCTGTCACTGGCTCCGTGTCCGCCTCACCTTTCTCTCAGCAGGGGGCCAAGTAGGGCCAAACAAGGAGCCACCATGCTAAGGAAGTTTACTTTCCTACTTTGTCTGTCAATACCGTTTTACTAATGTCAAAAAGGAACATTTGTTTGAATTTAGGGATGATTACGATGGTTTGATGATGTTTAGCCTTGGTTTGCCCTACTTGGCCCCTGCAGAGAAAACCAGGCTAAGATTAGGAGGGAGACAGGCCCAGCCTTTAGGCTACATCAAGAGCTACAGATTAGCAGCAGGCTAATCTGCATTCGACACTATAACTGGAAAGTAAAGACAACATAGAATGGATGTTTCTATTACAAGAGGCCAGAGAACGCTGCATTGCAGCAGCGTGTTGACAAATATATATACACATCACTTCTGCACACACACTCATTCTCCTCACACCCGCATCCTCACCAGCCTCCCTAAAATGTTCTTCAGCCTCCCCAAATAATTTGGCATTATTGGCTGTAAATGTATGTATATAAATATATAAATAAATGTCTGGACTGTCCGTAGATTAAAACAAATTAATGAATCAATCTCAGATTTTGAAATTCATTCATCTAGATTAATCACTATTAAAAGCGGTAATATAACGGAACAATAACGTTCCACACCGCCAGCGCAAAACAAATAAATATCTTTAAAATAACAACAACGAGCCTCTCATCTGTCAGGAGCGGGGGAACCGCCACAACCTTTCCATACGTTTGTGATTACCTCCTGCTAATGGAAAAAGCTCTCGACCACCGTCTCAGTCTTGGATCTAACGGGGGTCAACACAAGTAAACAAAGTTGCCCTAACTACGTTAAAATATTGTAGCGCATTCATCTCGGCCACAATAATCTCATAGCATTAACTTGATACCTGATATTGGTGATGTCATTCAACTATAACAATATGGGCCCCGGGCACTAGGACCTTGGGGAGGCTCGTCACTGAAAGCCACAGTTAATTTAATTTCGCCGACAAAGAGCTTGGGTTACGTACGGAGTCAAATTGTAAGTACAGGTAGTTTACAGAATGTGTCTGTAGTAGTTTACATTTAGGTTTACCTGAGGAAAATGAAAGATGATCTTGTAGTGGGCTATGTTAACACTAAGCTAGCAAGACAGCTATTTTGTTAAATACTGTCTTCAAGTTCAAGTTCTTCAAGTTCAAAATACGAACGAAAATAAGAAATAACTTTCCCCATCTCTCTATTCTTTGCAACTACATGTCATATAGTGTCTCATGACGCTATTGTAACGCTGTATCATCCAAGTCATGAGAAGATTCAGTAGAGGTGGAAGCTCCGCCCACTCGGATGAGAGAGAAGCAGGAGACTGACGGGCTGAAGGAGTCGGTGTGATGGAGGTCAGTCCCAAACCACCGGACCATCTGGACCGAACTAAAAAAAAACAAACAACTACAGCCTCTTTATATTTGTGTATTCATATATCTGCTGTATTTACAAAGCTTGGTTGTTGTTTAACATTCATGTCACGTTTCATAAAGTTTGCTTTGACGTGCTGCTCTTACTGCTGATGGGCGACAGCAGGGGGCGGAGCTACAGGAGCGGATGTACCAGTTAAAACCACTGCATGACTGGTTCTCGCTGAACAGCCCTTCTGCCTTTCTTCATCTCCTCTTCCTCATCTTCCTCATCTTTCCCAACGACCCTCCTCGTCCTCCACACTGAGCCTCAAAGCCGATTGGCTTTCCCCCGTCCCGCCGTCGCCTTTTATCCAAATGTGGGAAATGTTATGGGTGCTGAGGAATCGGGACTCTAGCTAACAGATGGCCATGAGAACATGACTTACATGGCAGCACGCATTCACACTGACGCACACACACACACACACACACACACACACACACACACACACACACACACACTGTAGGCAAGAGATGCACACACAACCACCAGAACCACCTGCTATTTAAATACGCTTATAGTCGATTTTTCACGCTTTGAATTACCCAAAAATGAAAACCTGAACTTCAATATTGGCCAACACACATTCACAAACATATAGAAACACACACACACACACACACACACACATTACAGTAAATAATAGTTCACTGTACATGGTGTAAGTTTAGATTTCACACTTCTTGTGCTGAGCTAGTCCATCCCACAACATGCACGCTGCTGGGCACCTGCCAGCACACACACACACACACACACACACACACACACACATAATGTGCCTGAGGCAAACCTACCAAGCATCATTTGAGAGACATTTATCTCTGCAATGGAAGAAGAAAAATGCCGCAATGGAAGAGGCAAAAGCTGCAACTAAAAGGAGTGAATAACGATGGACAGCAGGTAGCAGATAAACAAGAGAAAGATAGGATTCTCTCACACACACACACACACACACACACACACACAGAACTCCTCGCTTCAGGACCCAAACGAGGTTTAACCGGAGATCTTCCACTCACACACTCACCGTGTCATGGCTGCATCCGAACGCTCGCAGCACGGACGAGGCCAGTTGCGAGAGGAACCGTTGTGACATCTTGGTGTGTGTAAATATATATATTCAGTGTGTGTGTGTGTGTGTGTGTGTGTGTGTGTGTGTGGAGGAGAGAGGGGTGTGGTTGAGGTGACCGAGGAGCTACATTCTCATCAGACCGCAGTTAGATGTTGACGGTGTCTGTATGCGTCTTTGAATGAAGGAGGGAGAGAGGACGGAGTCTGCGGAGACTCTGGGACTGTCCTACCTTCCCCTCGGCTTGCCCCTCCCCCTTCCTGGTCACCGCGGCGTCGTAAGGCGGCGCCTCGTGGAGTGGACAGCCCGATTGGCTCGATGTCCTCGAGGAGCTGGCGGAGCCTGTGGGGAGAAACACCATTGGCTGGTTAAAAAAAAAAGCTGATCAACAGATGATTGGCCAGGCTGCCTGACCTCGACCTCCTCCACCCGTGCATCGCCGCTCCATCTCCCTCGCTGCTTTGAGAGGCAGCCAATCACATCCTTTCTCTCCAGCACATAAGAAACCTCCCTAACCAATGGCACCCTGCTCAATTCCTCCTACATCCCCTGCCTTGGCCATCTGTCTGTTAAACCAGCCAAGATCCGTGTGTGTGTGTGTGTGTGTGTGTGTGTGTGTGTGAGCGTAGAAGTGATATAGAGAATTCTTTCCAATAGATCGGTGGTTTATGACTTGTACATTTCTCCCTCGCTCTACTTAAAACACCTCCACGTTCTCCCCGGCTGCATCACACCTTCATGTGAGGATACTGTGAATCAGCGTGATGAAGAGTTACATCTCACTTCTTTCTCTCAGTGAACTAGTCAAACCGTGACTGTGCTGGTGAAGGACCACCCTCCTAAGCTGACGCGTGTCCTACCTGCAGGCTGGTCCACCGACTTGGACTGCTCCAGCAGATGCTCCTTGGCTTTGGCAGACTGGGACAAGACGGTGGCGAGCAGCTGCAGGAGGACAAGAACAAGGACGCAGCCACGTGAACACGCACCCAGCAGCTCGTACAGGAAGTGGACGTGGACGCTGTGGTGATGTAAGCCGTGGGTTTGCTGACTGCGGCTTTAATTTCTGCATTTTTGCCGTTTCCATTTTGGCTTTTTGGAACCAAGCAAGAGAAAGAGGCGGAGCTAAATGCAACCAAGAAGGACCTTTGTGGCAAATCTAGACGTGAAGTGAAGTGACTCCTAACGTCTTCATTGTGCATCCGAGTCAGGCCCTCGTTTCCTTCCATTGAGCCTGATAAGGAGCCCAGTCGTAAGAAACAATTTGGACTAAAATCAGGAGAGGGCAGGAGAAAAATCTGTTCCTCAGTCGGTTGGCTCAGGGTGGATAAATGACCCGAGGCCAACTCTCTCCGTGTGTTACACTAGTAAATCACTTCAATGAATAATTCAATTCAAATCATTTGCATTGCTAATTATCATTTAACATCCTCACATCAGAAAAGAAAAAACTCCCCCCGAAAGAAAACTAGTAATGAACACTACGACGCACCAGGACGTTTCCCGGCGTAAAAATAAACTTGTCGTTCATTTTTTCACTGTTTTTAATGCTGTTTTTGGGGGGGTTCTTTCGTGGTGCTCATACGGCCCACCTGGAATATCACAGTATATGTGTGTGTTAGTTGTGTGTGTTAGTGTGTGCGTATGTTTTTTTACGTACCTTGACCCCCTCAGCCTGCGCATGAAGGACGTGCCCGGTACTGCCGGCGCTCTGACCGCTGCCCGACGACCTCACGCTGGTCACACTGCCAGAGCTACCCAGACTGCTGCGGTCTCCACCTGTAACACACACACACACACACACGCGCGCACACACAAAAACACACACATGCATTCACACCACACGTACATGCAACCGCCCAAACGACATGTATAGATTTTGTGCATACAGACGCACGCATGTAACAAACAGATGGATGCACACAGTGGCCAACACACAAACACACACACACACACAAAGCAGCGAACATACACACACACACACATACACGCAAACACATACACACACGCACATACACACATTGAGTGGTTTAGCTGATATCCAAAGCAACGCGGTAACAGGTTTGACTCTCCATTGAAATGCACTGGGCAGCATGTGGATGGGACGGACGGACGGACGGACGGATGACAAACAAGGAGGTGGAGTAAACGAGACACACCTTTCACTTTCACACACAGACACGCCTCTTTCCTCTCACTTCTTCTCGCTTTCTTTCCTATGTTTTTTGTCCCTCTCTCTCACACGAATATGTCTCCGTACATCCAGTTGGAAAGACACACAGACTGTAGACCGATGTCCTACACAAAGGGCCTGTGGGCTCGGCTGAGTTTGGATGGAGGGTTAAGCAGGACATGGGGGGGCTGTCAGGAGCAGGTCAAAGAGTATCTGAAAGCCTTCAGACATCATCTCTTTTTTATCGCTTGTAGATGGATGACTAAGTTCTGCTCTTGGGGACATTTGCAGTGTGGAGCGTGGACACCAGCGAGGCAGTGCCGGGCAGAGACGTCTTTTTTTGAAAGGATGTCAGATACTGTTTGACCCCCCCGGTCAGAGTCTACAGGGGTCGGGGGGTCGGGGGCTCAGCGCAGTGCGGCTTAGTTACCTGCCACTGACTTGCGCAGAACCCAGATCTCTTCGTTGGAGCCTCCGTGGGGCCCGCAGCACGCGGCGGGGGGGCTGTGAGGACTGGCCTCTGAGCCGCGACAACCTTCAACACAGAACACCACTGTTAGCCGCTAACCGACCCTAAGCTGGCCGCTAGTAGCATCGCTGCCCTGTTGCTGTCCAATCCGACTACTTACACCAGCGAAAACTCATGTTTCTTTCATCATTTATTTTTTTGTCGAACTTTGGGGCAGCTGAATATACAACGTTGGTAAATGATTAGCTGATGCGGCTAACGTATTAGCAAACCTTTGGCAACGTCAGCACTAGTTTGACGATGTGTATCTGCCAAGGTGGTGAATTGAAGTCAAATGTTGCCTTTTAGCTCTGTTTTGGTCACCGGCAATTCATTCATGTTCAACTCTTTAGCTGATAATTGCTCCGCTTTGTTCACTGTTTTTTTGCTCTTCGGATTTGGTAGAACTGAGTAGAATGGAAACTTGACCAATCTTACATTACACATCCATTGTTCAGATAAATATATTGTAGCTTTAAAGTGAGGCTGAAACTAGCGTTTATTTATAGCTTAAAAACATGTAACACGATAACAAAACCGGTGTAGTTCAGAACAATGACAGTTATTTAATATTTATAATTAGGCTTTGTCACATAGTGGTAGTAAAACGATATTGAGCATTGAAACTGTAAAATTTAAAAATATACTGAGTCTCTCTCCACTGACGACAGATCACAGCCGATGTCGGGATCATTTTAGACGGAAAAATTTGAAACTGGGGAATTTAATAAATTACTCGCAGAAAGAACACTTATTTCTTATATTTGTTATTACGATTGTTTTAAAGGGCTATTTAAGTTTCACTTACACGCCACACTTACACCCTCACATACGTGCTCGCACACGCACACGCACACACAGAAAGAAATACAGCATATATATATATATATATAGATAGATTTATGGAACATTTATATACCTGATGTACATAAATAGATCCATAACATGAATATCTGTGAAGATACACATATATGCCATAATGTACATACATATACATATATAATACAGCCATATGTGTGTGATTATATATGTAAGCCTTGTCAGAATGGGGCTGCTGTAGTGCATTTGGAGATAAACCATTACTACCATCATACTAATGGTTTATGAATAGTTTAAATATGTGACCAACATTGCTCCCAAGAAACACACACATAGAAAACATTTCTGTTCCGTTTGCTCTCGTGTAATGTCGCAGCTCCTTCTTGTGGCCGTCTCGCATCCCTCCAAGTGGACGGAGCAAAACGAAGGACTCAAGTGCGTCTTCAGGGACTCTGATTATTCTGCGATTGTTTTGTACGTTACGGCCAGTGAGCAGCTGACCTGCAGAACATCCTGGTGACATTTTCTCACCGTGCTTCCGGGTCTCTGACACTCTAACACTTGACATTTTGCAAGTATTTGCATGTACTATCAGCATTTTTTTCTAATACATTACATTCAAGAGTCCAACAATTAGATTTATTTCAGCTACGATATCTTACTGGATCTTTGAAAATGTCACCCGTTACTGCCTGACAAAGCTTTTCTGAAGCAGCAACTAAACATCTGCCGACTCAACTGTCAATAAAGCGACAACAGAAAGTAAAGGTATATTTTTTTCCAAAGTCATAACAACAATATTAATTGGTATTGTTTCCAATTGTTAATCAATAATTTGCGATTAATTAATATAATGTGGACATGCTCCCTCGTCCAAAGTCTTCAATGCCGCACACACACTCTCACATGGACATATTGAGGTGCAAGCTGGGAAAGGCGGAGTTAAAATGTTCAGACGTGACACAGGGACACGCGGGACGAGGCAGGACAGAACCAGAAAACAAATCATCACACTTGTCTGTTGGGTTGAGGGTTGTGTGTGGTGAAGTTGTCTTAGTGGGACTGTGAGGATGTACGGGCAAACAACCAAGAGGGAGAAAGGAAGGAAGGGGGGAAAAAATATAACTGCAAAAAAAGCCAAGTGAAGCACAAACTGAACAGAGGACTGAGGTAAAACGGGCATCTCTCCTCCCACCTGATCTATATTCTTCTTCTCTGGCATTGACCAGATGTAAATGTGTGGGGCGGGTCGCAATGTCAGCAGTATTACAACCACAACCTTAAAAAATCCACACCCGTGTACCAGCACTTTGACAACTCTTTTCTTTTAAAAGGGCCGAAATGCTACGGCAGTGATCAAACCCACTTCACATGAGAGATGTCATGTTACAGGGCTTACTTCAGCTCGCAGCGTTCCTTCACAGGCCTGACATGAAGCAGCTGCTGGGATCTTTGCTCTCAAGGGGCAACAAAAGCCAAACGTGTGGTTCAGCCTACTTAGCGCAGTACTTACAGACCATAATTAGTATCAGAAATGTGGGTTGATTTTATGAAGCCCTTAAAAACTATTTTAAACTGAAATAGCCCATCAGACAGCTGTGCTTAACCAACTTATTCTAAGCCATGTGCAAGAAATATTTATCTTTTCATCATTGCGTACGTCCACTGGGTGAAGCTCTTATTGCTAAAATAGCAACACATAGCACACATTAGCTTAAACACACTAGACTTCTGGCTAACAGCTGACATTAATGGAGATGACAACAGTAACAACAGAAAAAAGAAAGTTATATAATATGAGCAACACATAAAATTACATAAATAATGATACATAACAGAAAACTTCAATGGATGCCTTCTTAAAACAACATCATAAAAAATCATCAAGAATCTTACATGACCAATCAGACATGGTATCGGAGGAAAGCATCTCTTGAAGCTTTATTAATAATAATATAAATAATGAAAAAGGGGCCGTGTACCTGGGGCAGTGGGTGTGTCTCCCAGTGGGGTTGTCACGGGCGACTTGCTATAGCCAAAGGAAGTGAAAAGTGGAAGCAGTGGCTGATGGGAATGTGGTGGAGGAGGAGGCGGTGGAGGCAGGATATGGATCTGATGGAACGTGGTGTCGTTGCCGTTGACTACCGCGTTGGCAGGGGCAACCGTTGTCGGAGGAACCAGCGGTATCTTTTGAAACTGTTGGGTGCAAATGACTGTGCTGGCCAAACCTAGATAACAGCCACCGTGACGTCACACGGACACACACACACGCACACACACACACACGCACGCACACACACACACACACACACACACACAACCAGCCAACAGTGATCCACCGCCACGTGACACACAAACGACAGAGAACAGAGAATTACATGTAAGAAAGAAGGAAGTGGGAGAAAAGAAAAATTAAAAAGAAATGCCGAAGTTACAAAATCAATCAAACGGCTGATGTTAAAGGCGGACGAAGAGAAGGATGACAAACAGATGTTGGGATGAAATGAATGGAGAGGTGAAAGAGAAAACCATGGAGGGTCCCGCCGAACTGCTTTTTACTCTTAACATTGTCGTTCAGTCATTAAGTCATTAGCTATAAATATTTAAAAACTAAATATTTTTTTGCGATCAGAGGACATAATCTTGATAGCTTCCTGTATTCCAGCCATCATCAGTCTTGACTGGTCCCTGACAACAAAAAGCAAATGTTGTGACTTATGTTGCTTAAGTTAAAGTGGTCGTGATAATCGCCGCAAAGCTAGTTTATGTTTGTTGAAAAAAATGAATAAGAGGTGAAGATGCTTAAAACAGGAATAATAAAAAATGTATGAAAAACCGCTGAGTAAATGAAAAAAGCTACTTTATCCCAGTGTGTGTGTGTGTGTGTGTGTGTGTGTGTGTGTGTGTGTGCCCTCACAGCGATTTGTCAGTATGGCTGTACAATCTCAGTTGGAGGCTCCAGCTGTACCGTTACCACAGCTGTCCTATGCGCTGAATGCAGCAGTTACTTCGACGGGTTTCTGTCGCGGTAAAAAAGGACTATGCAGTAAATACTGAGTGATCCAAGATCGACTTACATGAGGGAGGAGAGATGGTGTGAAAGTGAGACCTTTGTGATGTCGGGGGATGAGGCCGACAGCAATAGGGAGACGGACATACAGAGAACTAGGACTCAATAGGATAATTTCAGAGCGACAGACGGACGGATGGACAAACAGAGATACCAGACCTCCAGACAGACACCAATATACACAGTTAAAAACATGTGAGCCTCTGTGTGGCTGCGCAGTGACACTTTGGGGTGATGTGATGGGTGTGAATGTGCACTGTGGATCCCACCAAAGAGGCTAAAGAAGCTCAACACGGTGATATAAAATGGAGAAATGGGGTTTAAATATCTTTTGGGGGAGATTGGACACCTGTTAAGTAACAAAAACACAGATGACAGCAAAATCCCAGGCGTGGCCCTGGCAGACCTTCACAGGGCTTTCAACGTGAGCTAGCCAGCAGCTAACGACGCTAACGGCGCTGACTGAGCTAACTGTTTAGCTCTGCGTGGAGAACTAGAGAATGCCACAGTGGGCTACAGAAAGGTGAAACAACCAATGCTCTACATATAACTACATCTGCGTGTGAATAGCATGAATGTTACATGGCTTTATTGAGGCCCTTCGCAATACAAAGCACAGTATATAGTATATAGAGTATATACTATAGGCTAACGCTATGAATGATAAGTGTAGAAAAATGTTTTACCCCAATTTTAAGTACGTTTTAATTGGATTCGTGGTTTGATATTCATCTTAAGATAACAGGTTTTGAACTAGTCAGCTGTTTCTGGTCTTCATGCGTAGCTAAGCAAAGCCAACAGGCTGCTGACGGTGTAGTTTCATAGAAATGTGTGTCATAAACTCTCCACAATTTCTGTGCAAGAAAACTAACGAGCGCATTTCTCTCTTAACAAATGTCTATCATTCGGCAGGAAAAGTGTACGTCATCCGCCAGGGACAAGCGGAGGATGTTGGTGTCTGCATTCTCACTGCTGAACAGGTACTTTCCAGGTGAATCAATCAGCTGTATTTGTGTTACAGTTCTAGATCCCAATGAGGCCAACTGGCTTGCACACATTCATGTGGGATTACATCTTCCGCAGTGAAAAGATGATGCTGAGTGTTTGGCCCCGCTGAGCAGAGATGAATGAGATGTAAGGTCAATCCTCACGGGTCTATGGGAGAGGCTCAAACATGAATTCACTTAGCGTCACATTTCTTCATCTGGGTGTCGTCCAAATATGTGTTATTTGGTGCTTTGCTTGATACTTTATCGGGACAGTCAGTTTGGTCCGGTTTTAATTTACTCCAACGCACTCACTCTGACACACACACACACACATAAGAGTACACACACCTGTGCGCTTGCTGATGACCTCCACCATGGTGGAAGGGAAGTAGCCCACGCGGTCATTTCCTGTTCGGTTGTCATGGATACAGCCTTTCCAGCGACCGTCGGGGTGCTGCTCCAGAACCTGTCAGGTAGGCAGGTTCACCACTATAATATTAAGTTTCATCTATTCTTAGCATTGCAAAAGTTACTGAAAGACAACTATAATTGAACCATTTTTTCCAGAGTTTGAAATGATTTAACTTGTCAGACACAAAGACAAAACTGTTTTTTGGAGCTGTCTAAAATGTTCTGTGTCAGACCGCAGCGAAGCCAAATTATTCACTCAGACCTCACGGGAGAAAGCACAGGCACCGCTTGGCTTCCTAATTACAGTAAGAAGTACCTAAAGACTGTATGGACGCTCATAAATATTCACAAGCGGTGGGTGCAAAGGAATTCAACACCCTAATTTATAAAAATGTCTTTGTAAAATATATGCACGGTAAATGAGGGAAGCTGAAACCCCTCAATCTTGCGTATTCATTAGTAATCGCATCGAACACAGTGACAGCACATTAAAAATACCTGCAATTTGGTTGTCAGGGCGATGATAAAACAACCACCACACTTTTTTGTGATTCATTTATCCAAACACTCAAAAACTGTAGAACAGAAGCCCTACAATACAAGGGAGAAAACGTGCTATATTCTACAATCTCTATTTCTAACAGTGCAGATTTATATGTTTTATTATCAGTGTCAACCCGATGTGTTAAATAGGACTTAAAGCAGACAAAATTCTTTATGGACTAAAAACACAAGCTACATATTCCGTGTGTAGGCGATTCAAACTCACGGATGCTTATCCTGCCAAAATGTTTCCATTACATTGGAGAAAACTCTTATTTTATACACCAACTCTGAAAGTGGATCACTTTTCCCTCAGGGCTTCCATATGCAGAATGCTGCCTGCAGGAATATTGTCACCAGGTCCACATACTGTCTCATCTCTTCAGGTTAATTTGCCACAGTTGAGCACAATCTGTAGCTGACACATGACACCATGGGGGGTCCGGGGACCGGAAGGAGAATCGGCCATTAATTAGCAGCACATTATTCCATGAGAAAATCAAATGGTGTGTAAAATGTTACAGCGGATGAAATGTCCATCACAGCTTTACATCAGACCTACAGAGGGAAAAAAATGTAACCAATAGTTACATTCGTGAAACTAGATTGAATCGCTTTTTGGGAGTTTCTACGCGTGTAGGTTCAGGTATAACATGAACTGAATAATCAGCTCTGGTTGCACATCTATGCCTTCTGAGCATCCATTAGGGAGGTCTTCATTAAAAAAATAAAACTGAGAAGAAAAATACAAAAAAATCACACTGAAAAACACTGAAACTGGCCATTGTGTGTGTTTGTGCGTGTGTGTTACCGTAATGACGTCTCCTGCTTTGATGTTGAGGCTGGTCAGGTCGTAGTTGTTGCAGTAATCCTTCAGAGCCCGAACCTGGAGGGCCGCTGATGCATCTGCAGCGCAGCGGGAGACAGCAAATACCCACCACATTAAATCAATCACTACGGGTAAAAATAAGTGTCTCTCATAGTTGGTAACGGCGTCCCTGAATCCCCACACAGGAGTATGATGGTCTAATCACATTAAACACTGTAACAGAGTTTTCAAACTACCTGCAATTTGGTTGTCAGGGCGATGATAAGATAACCAAACACTGCAGAACAGAAGCAGCACGATCAATGAGCGGTGATTGACAGCTGCGTCAGGCTCTGATTTTGTTGTTATGAAAGGAAACAACTTCCTCTTTACATCAAAACTATGACTTCAAAGCAATACCTTTCAATATTACATACTAACCTCATCATCGTCTCTTACCAAATGGAATTATGTACATATTTTGTTCTGTATATATCTGTGTATGTAATAAAAAGAAAAAAGATTGGGGAATCACTCCCCCCTCCATTCACCCATGCATGCATCAATCCATCCATCTATGCGTCCATCCATAAATCCATCATTCAATCCATCCATCCGTTTGTGTTTCCATCCAGCCATCCATCTATGGACTAATAATCCATTATTCCATCCATCCGTGCGTCGTACCCCTCAGCAGTTGTTTGATCTCTCTGCTGGCCTGTGTTGCAGAGAACTGGTATACGATGTCGAGTGCAGTCTGGCTGTAGGTGTTTCTCACCGTGGCATTGATGCCACTCTGTTGAAGAGAAAAGAAAAGATGTGGGACAGTTTGTCGACTTTCAAATGACTTCAAAAGTAAGTTGGTTTCATGTGGACCTCAAGTAAAAGATCTGAGAGTGAAAACATAGAGGACGTTTTCCTTTGTGTTCCACATCACACGGTGTCCAGTAAATGTGTCTTCATACTAATTAGACACCGAGGGGATGTTGTGTAGCACTAATAGTAAAATAATAACAGGAATCAGACACTCAACACATGTAATACTTCCTAAGGAACCCTGTATAGGAATATTTTGTCTGTTTACACAATAAGAGTAAAAATCTTTCTCTGACGCAAAAATCACATTTATAAAATATTACACTTATTATATTTTTTTACGTAGTGGAGACAGCAGTTACATTCGGGGGAGGTTTCGGCCTTGATGGGGCCCGTCTTAGATCATAACGGCCCATAAAGCAGAACCCGGGCGGTCAGTGAAGTTCCGCTCACCTCCAGCAGGAGTCTCACGGCCTCAGTCTTTCCACACAGGGCGGCTTCGTGCAGGGCAGTGCCCGCTTTGGTCTGTCGGTTGATGTCGATTCCCGCCTGGATCAAGAGTCTGACCGCAGAGGGCAGAAGAGAGGACGAAGGGGATGGTGGAGGGGTTCAAAGGTCACACAGGGATGTGGAGGGGAGAGGAGTTGAATGAGGTGGAGTGGAGAAGGAGGAAAGTGAAGTCGTGGTACACTGCGCCTGATCTAAAGGATACAGCTGGCAAATGACTAAAGTAGACCATTTCTCAAAACGTCTCTGCTCAAAACCCATTTGTTAAGTCTTACATTTAAAATGAAAAAGAATGAAAATATCCTTGGTGGTTTAAACAGCCGGGCATTGTAGTTTTTAGCAAACAATGTAAAAATAGTGTGTTTGTTGAGGGACTAGCTGCGGATTAACACTCGTCCCGCAGCTTCAGTGAATTGGAATTATTGGGTTACAGATTGAAACAAAACATGGATTAAATTAACTTCACTGGCTTGTGTCATTAATTAACTTGGTAATGAGCGTTCTCCTCAGTAAAAGGTCAGGGCTTCTTTCTCTCGCTCACACTAACTTTTCTGTGTGTGTGTTTGTGTGAGGAAGAAGTCAGGAAGTGCATCGCCTGCACATTCAGGCCTTAAAACACACGTGTGGATCAATCCAGAACCAGAACCATACTTTCAATGACACGGTGAGGAAGGCTGAAAAGATCAGAATGACATGTGGCAGCTGTCAAAGAGAAGCTGCCGCTTTTCGTCATCCTCCAGCTTCCACTGACTTGTAGTCAGTATGTGTGTGTGTGTGTGTGTGTGTGTGTGTGTGTGTGTGAGTGTTCCGCAGCCTGCCAGCCGTGCCTAATGAGCATCATCAATCAGCATCACTTCTAGAGAAGCAGACTCTGCACTTTCCGTACGACAGAGTTCCATCTGTAAATGTGCAGCGGGTTGAGTGTATTTATGAGTATGTGACTGATGCGTCATCGCTCGTTGTTCATACGCCTAATTGGATCTCAGGGTTCCGCTGCTGTGTTGTGTATCGGTTTTCTTAACAAGCTCAGGAGGACATTTAAACCCAGTGACTGAGGTGTGTGTGTGTGTGTGTGTGTGAGAGAGATGAACCTATGGGTGGATGTGTGTGTGTGTGTGAGAGGGATGAACCTCTGCGTGTGTTGACCTGATACCTGATAATGTCTATGTGTCCATTCTTGGCGGCCAGGTGGAGCGGAGACGTCCCGTTGGGGTCGTTGGTGTCTCCTTTTTTGGGCTCCAGCAAGGCAGCACACATATTGCTGGACAGCAACAACTGCACCACCTACCCACACACACACACACACACACACATTTGAACACGTCTTCAGACTGTCTTGAGGCGGTTTCTTGACGGACGACTAACAGCTTGGTTCTTACCCCGACTCTGCCGAACTCGCAGGCCAGGTCCAGAGGTGTTTTACCCGCGTTGTCCACAATGCACGGGTTGGACTGGTGCTGCAGCAGCATCTCCGACTGGACACACACACACACACACACAGTAAAAGAGAATCCCTCCCTGTACAATGGTCCTTAGAGGAGGCCTGTGACATCAAGTCAAAGGAAAAGCTCGGTTAAAGTGGATAACGGACTTAGAAGGATAAATCCCCCCAATATGGAATTAGTTCATTGTGCTTTCTAATAAACCTTAAGTTGAACAAATCCGTAGAGCCCGTCAAATTAGACTCTGTAGCTTCTGACAAAAACACTGTCTCTGCATACTTGGTGTTAAAGCAAATGTCCAATGGTCCGTGTGCCGCCCCGGATGTTGAATAACTCTGCTTTAATCTGTGGTCCGGTTCAGTGTTTTTTATTCCTGCACTTGCACACTGGGAGCAGCTGTTTGTTACGCTGTGTAACTCACAGTTATTTCATCAAATAGGAGGGACGGTTCTGCAGCTTTGGGGCCTGCGGATGCTGAGCGCAGCTCCCCTTCTGGCTGTGTTAGCAGCTGGAGAGAGTGTGCGCTATCTTTCATGCTTCGGCACTGCAGTGCTTCACGGAGATTCTTCTCTTTTTTTTTTTTTTCTTGCCCGGAAAACCCTCCAGGGCGGGATTTTCTTTAACGGGTCATTTCTTAACCCGGCTTTGTTGCATTCGTTTCATTTCTGACAGAGGAAACAACAGTGCAGCATCGATAACAACAAGACACAAGTGGTGCATGTTGAAGGAGACATGATTGCAGATGACTCACATCGAACATCTGGCAGCAGTTCTGACACGTTGACTTTTTAGCTCTGCAGCTACGTCGCTACATTACACGTCTACCTAGCAACCATCATTTGGCCATTTGGGGTCAGCGCAAACACGCTGTGGACTATGACATATCAGCACGCTTTAATAACCCCGTACACATGTCAGGGACATTTTGGGCATATTGTGTTTCATGTTTGGATCCTAAAATGATCCAAACATGAAACACAATATGCCAAAAATGTCCCTGACATGTGTACGGGGTTATTAAAGCGTGCTGATATGTCATAGTCCACAGCGTGTGCTAAAGGATTTTGCATAATTTTTGGGGCCGGATGCAAGTTATTGATTTTGCTACCATGTGTAAACTGTGCATCAAAAAAAGACACATCAGGCGTTAAAACGATGGATCTTCTGCGTATCATCGACAATTACCTTCAATTACATTCATTACATATTCAATCCAGGCTCCCGGCTGCTAAATCCTAGATTTGACAGTTCTCCACCAGATAAATTCTTATTCAAATCCTCAAAACCAATATTGTTGTTGATAACAACGTAATTTCTCAGACTTTTAAATCAAATGTCCCCTAAGTATTTAGTTTCGAACAGAATATGAATTTGATTTAATGGGAGTTATGGAAACAAAATTGGTATTTTAAAGATAATAAAAACAGAAATCCTCATAGCATCTGGGGCAGGCTGTTCTACTAAAGGATGCCGTATGGATTATGATCGATGGCTTTGTCTTGTGTCTCTGGTGTCCTCAGACCAGAGGACAGACCCTTGTTGAGTCGTGACGGTCCTCCACTCTCAGCTGTGTTCGACATGAAGCGCCGTCACTCACCACGTCGTAGTGGCCGTGCTGCGCCGCCAGGTGGAGAGGAATCTGCCCCTCATCTGATTGGCCGTTGACGGACGAGCCGGACTTCAGCAGCATCTTCATGGGCTCCGCCTTCCCCTGCCATGCTGCGTAGTGCAGCGGCCGCATACCTGCACGCACACACACACACACAAGCTGCGTTTTATGTGTGTGCAAAACTCAGATCTCTCCCTTTTTATTATTATAAATGTTTATCTGTGTGTGTGTGTGTGTGTGTGTGTGTGTGTGTGTGTGCACGTTATCCCCTGACCTTTCTGGTCTCTGATGTCGACAGCTGCCTGTGACTCCAGCAGCAGAGTGATGAGCTCCAGGTTCCCATTGAGAGACGCATGATGCAGCGGAGAAAACCTATGATACACACACACACACACATCATAGTAACTGTGAATTACACTTATTTTCTAGCGCATTAGGTCGGCATTATATTTATTTTTCCTTCATGACAGAAAATGTAGTTATTGCTTTTGTTTCGGACCAAACAACCCTGTTAAAAATAGTACACACACATGCATACTCTCTGTCTGTCTCACACACACACACACACACACCCACACACACACACGCACACAGTCACTTACACAGGTCAGTGATAATGGCAAAGCAGAGCATAACAAAAACGTTTAATATCAGAGGATTAGCACTGATGGGATGGTGGGAGGTGAAAGAAATATACAAAAGGAAGGGTATTATATTGTGTAAGAGATACCGTGTGTGTGTGTGTGTGTGTGTGTGTGTGTGTGTGTGTGTGTGTGTGTGTAAGAGGCCACAGGCAGGATGCCGAGTAGATAAGATTGACATGTCAGCCTTGATGGTTAAGCATGAGAAAGAGTAGAAGGAGCCCAAAGCATCAAATAACCCGAGGACTCCGACAACCAACAAATGCCCATAAACGCACACAAACACACACAGCAAACTGCTTTCGGGGTCTTCTAACACACGCCTTCTGTCTGACTCATATCCACAGTGACATCTGTCTCCGTCCCCCCGTCTCTTTCTCCTCCTCTCTCGAGATTTGCTCATTTGCAGTGAAACCACAGGCAGCTGATGACCCGAGAAACTAGTCAGTCAAATGTGTGATTCTCTGGGCCGAAGGCCAGTGGTGAAACCATGATTGTTTGATGGAGAAAGCGCTTTCTAGATGTACCAATCTCTCAAGAGCTGGTTTAGGCAGCGATCTTGAATAGTCGTGGTTCGGCATTGGCCTTGAATGGTTAACGCCGGGCTCTGGTCTTGACCATTGGAGGCTAAAGCTAAGGATTGACCTTGAATAGCTCGTTAGCTACGCTACTTATTATTAACACTTTTGCTTAATTTTGTAGTTTTCTATTCCTGCGTCCAATTCAGTATTCATCGACACCTCCGGGAGGTTAAGCTAGGCTAACTAGCTGTTTCTAAGGTAAGCAGCTACGTCCTTCTATCCATTTGCAAACCGAGCAAGTTGCCTTTTCCCTCATTAACTAATTAGCTTGCTACACTTTGGTTTCAAAAGAATTACTAAGAATAATAACGTTATCGTTGATGTATATTATTGTTGGTGGGTTGTGTTAGTTTCTGATTTGCCGTCTTTTACGATTGGACAGTGAATTGCTGACTGTTTCAGTAACCATGGAGACGATTTAAGAGTGAGTGTCAATGCTTGCAAGCTGGACAGAGAGTGTGGATTATTTAGTCTGAAATAGGGCTGAATGTGGGAGTCACTCTTCGAGTGTGCCTGTGAGTGTGGAGCCGCATACTGAGGAGGAGTGACCTGGTCTAGTTCATCCAAATCACCCCATCGCCCCGTCCCTCCTCGCCTCCTTCCCTCTGCCTGCACTACTTCCTCTCTTCTCCTTTCCTTAGTTTCATCACCAAACCACACACACAGCCACGGGTTAAAAAAACCACAACATGGAGACTGGACATACGTATATGTGTTGGAAGCACGACCCCCACAGCGGCTCAGGGTGCAAACAGACAAGTGCAGCAGAGAGAGAGGGAGGGAGAGGGAGGGAGAGAGGGAGAGAGAGGTAGATGCACTTATTGTATGAATAAAAACACTTGTTTTATAGAGTTTATATATTATATTATATTGTATATATATTGCAATTAATTCAAAACAAAGAAGGAAGAACCCTATTTCTTTTGTTTGGGGGGGTTGGGAGTTCTTTCACTGTCCCTATACGCTCAAAGGGGGCCTTGTCAGACCTTGAGAGTTTGGGTCAAGTGACTTAACTTGTGTTCTCTCCACTGGCCTCCAGGGGGCGACTCCTCTGGTTATTGTAAAGAAGTCAATGCGTAAATGAATACACCCCCGTCTTGATTTATTCCCACAGTGAACATTGCAAACACGGGTTAATGGTCTGAATCTCTAGTTTCAACTCATCCTGAATAAAAAAATCAGCATGACGTTCATTAGTGAATCATGGTCCAGAGTATGCTTTAGGGCGGGCTTACTGTGATTGACAGGTCTCTGCCGCTAACACCCCTCCTTATCCCAAACATGGTCACTTCTGTTCATCGGTTGCACCTGTAATCCAAGATGGCGACGGGCGGCTGGACGGACTGGAGGCTTCTAAAGCACAGTGGGTGACGTGACGATGACCACGTCCACCTCCACCGCCTCCTCTCCCTGATTCATTCTCTCTGTACTCCTCGCTTTCTAATGTCACTATGACGACAACCTGTTACTAAAATAACATGAATCCATACCTTATAAAACCTTTAAATAAAACAAGGAGTGACGATGTCAGCATCATTGAGTCGTCGTAAAAACAGAGACGAGAAGAGCTTTCTCACTGCGCATGCCGCAATACTCAGTTCTCAGAGACGACTAGAACCACTCAACCCCCCCGTCCTCCCCGTCCCCCCCGTCCCCCCCACCTCAGGGTTAAACAGGGATAGCGTTACACAATGCAGCACAGGGCTGAGTGTGTCGGCGGGGAATAAACAGGGAAGGGAAGCCCTCGCCTCCAAGTAGTAAACCTGCTGTGCAATATTCATGATCCCCCCCCACACATCTACCTCCCCCTTTCCCTCCTGCACACATCTGCCTCCCCCTTTCTCTCCTGCACACATCTGACTCCCCCTTTCCCTCCTGCACACATCTGACTCCCCCTTTCTCTCCTGCACACATCTGACTCCCCCTTTCCCTCCTGCACACATCTGACTCCCCCTTTCTCTCCTGCACACATCTGACTCCCCCTTTCTCTCCTGCACACATCTGCCTCCCCCTTTCTCTCCTGCTCACTTCTGCCTCCCCCTTTCTCTCCTGCACACATCTGCCTCCCCCTTTCTCTCCTGCACACATCTGCCTCACCCTTTCTCTCCTGCACACATCTGCCTCACCCTTTCTCTCCTCCACACATCTGCCTCCTCCTTTCTCTCCTTCACACATCTGCCTCCCCCTTTCTCTCCTGCACACATCTGCCTCACCCTTTCTCTCCTCCACACATCTGCCACACCCTTTCTCTCCTCCACACATCTGCCTCCTTCCATCTCTTCTCCTTTTTCTTTACTCTCCTTAAATCCATCGCTCCTCTTGATTAGAGGAATTACAGCGACAGCAGATTAACAGATGGATTGTAGATACGTTTCCACAGCTCTGGTCCTCTAACTTCTAACCTTGTGAAATATATGAAATGATAAATAACAAATAATCTTATTTAGTAGGACCTCCAATAACAACAAGTCGTGTTTGTGGGTCAAGTGTGTGAGCAGGCGTTTGAGTGCAAGAGGACGGAAGCCGACTCTTCTCATGACGTCACCTCGCCGCTGCCTCTGAACTCACATCTCATGCATTCAACGTCTTTGCTCCTTCGCCTCCTCTCACCGGCTGCCGTTGGCCGTTTGTCTCCGTCCCTCGTCTCCGTCTGTCTCAAAGTCTGCTAATCTTTCTGCTCTCTCACTCTGTCTGTGTACAGATGTTTATACACTGTGACAGCTTGATCACAATATTTACTGCTGAACCATCAGTTCACCAAACCCATCGTAAGTGTGTGTCCACGTTCTCCCGCCTCAAATACAATGTTGTCTTGTGTCTCTGGTCTTTGAAAATATTTGTATTATTTATTTTCTCATATTTTCCTTCATCAGTAGCAGTTGTATACATTTTTGTTGGTTAAAAAACTTGGAATGTTCTCTGTTTTAAACTCTCTACTCTTCTACCATTTCTGGTCAAAGACTTGAAGATATAAGTTTATATTAGTTGTGCATATACATCAAGTTCTAAGCGGACAATGTGTTAGAGTATAAAAGAAGATTATATTCATTTAAATTAGATTAAAAAGCAGCATGTACAGATATACGTTGTCTGATAGGTGGGGAGAAGCGACGATGTCTGATGTTCAGTGGTGTCCTGGAGGTGCTTTGATGCCACATGCATGTTCATTTCCCCCACAGAGCGTAAACACACTGTAAAAGTCACTTCCTGGTCCACAAAACACATGTGCTGTCTTTGGGACGAGGCGTCCTCCCTCTCTTCTTCTTCTCTCTCTTCTGTGCGCTCTCGTATCATTAACGCCTGCACAAACAAAAAAATGAAGTCCGAGTCCCCGCCGACCCAGACACAGGACACAGGACACAGGACACAGGACATCTGCACAGTGGTACTTCTCTTATCTGTTTAATATTGTTCATTTTTGCTTGTGTATTGGTATCTTATTTTATTGTTTTCTTTTCACATTGCTGTATGTGTAACATACGTGGCAAAGAACGGCTTCTGATTCTGAACGTTGATGAACTGAGTTCTGTCAAAAACAAGAGAGAACGCGACTTTGAGGCACTTCCGGCCTCCTCGTGACTGCGTGTGAAGTCTCATTAGATATGAGCGCTCGTTACCAAACTAAATTCAACGCGATGCATCGTGTATCCCGCTCGTGCTCTTTGTTTACGGCTTCGCCAAACACAGCGGCGTTGGCGTGAGCCGGTACGAAGCGGAGGCGGAGAGGCACTAACGGCCTCACAACAACGCTAATTAGATCTCACAGTTCCAGCGCTCAGAGGATTACTTCTGATCTACAGGAGCCACTTGAGCTCAGTTTGCTGCTCTGTGACTCAGAGGCGAAAGGGTATCAACCTTTTTTAGGATTTTGCGCCGTTTGTATGCAGAGTGAAACCAAAAAGACGGCCGATCTAAACAGGTGTTTGTTTGTTTGTTTGTCTGATTTTGGTGTAAAATGTGGAGGCCGGTGAAGGAATCCTCTGTGTCAGGACACACAGACCTAACTTCCACACACACGATCGTCTGCTGTGTAAAGTGATTAAAAAGAGAACAGTCACAGAGTCTCCGTTAGAAACGAGCCGCGTTACGATGAAAACTGTTCTGGGTAAAGTGAACTTTACTGCTGAACAACAGATTACTGCCAGAGTCTTTTTACCCCTTTAAATATAAGCGCTTACATGCAGGTTTCTTAAACATGGAAAAACAGACGCTTGATCTCGGCCCGAAGAAGAAGAGCCGTACGTGATGCAGAGGAGACCTGGAGCAGGACGCCGCGCTCCCGTCTTCCACTGTCTGTCAATCAACCGACCTACGTAACCAGATTGGATGTGGGGCGGCGGTCGTCCGTTGGGTGAGTTGTCCGTTTGAAGCAGTAACGCGTGCGGTTTAGAAGCTACACGCTGCTCACATGCAAAGCTTCTGTGGCATCGATGCTCACACATGAACATTAAACACGCCGGGATTTTCATGCTACGGCAAAACTGTCGTGATAATGCAGCTTTTACTGTGAATGAGTGGGGTGAGGACGAATGGAGGCGGAGGGGGAGGAGGGGGAGGAAGGGAGTGAGGGACAATGAGAGGTCACTCACCCGTCTGTGTCCTGGAAGTTGACATTCACTTTCTTTGCCGAGCCGAGGAGCTCTGAGACACAGAGAAGGTGGAACATTAGTTCATTTTGTAGCATGTGGGTCATGATAATAAGGTCGGTACCTCGCAAAGGCCTCACAGACACAACTGTTATATTTCATGTTTGTGTTGAAAAAAAGGAAATTGTGCTGTAGATGCCATTTTTATTCAACCTTGTAACAACGAAAAACTTTCTTACTTTTACTTATTCTTCTTTAGAATTCACATTCAAAAGACAAAAGATGAATCCTAATGTTTATCACGATTTTTATGAAATGGTCTTTTTGGCAACAATGTTTTTTTAAAAGTTGTGTGTGCGGGACAAGTTATCACATTAATATACGAAAGCTTGCGTTATTATCGGGAGGGAAACAAGGAAATCTCTACGGTCAGCGAGGACGTCACTGATTTCGGGGATGGCGTCGCTCACGATCCGACGCTGCTCATCGGACAAACGACTCAGCCAATCAGCACCTGCACGCCGTTTACGCCACAGTAACGTATCTACAGGGGGAGGGAGTCCAAGCACAACCTCCTTCACCCCCTTTTCTTCATCTTCTGCCTCCCTGATGTCCGTTAACATGCAGCCAAGATGAGTCTGTGCTCTCTTTTTCTTCCCCCTCTCTTACCCTTTCTACACCACACACACACACACACACACACACACACACACACGCACACGCACACACACACACACACACCCTCTCCAGGGTGCAGGAAACAGGACAGTCCCTCCATTGTGGAGAGAGAGCTCCCAGCGCCACTGGGCGAGGAACATTGATTTCCTAACAGGCTATTTCTGGCTACTACATGCACACACACACACACACACACACACACACACACACACACACACACACTCTCTCTCACACATACTACGGACAAAGAGCATTCAAAGGCCTAATCTACCTGCTGCGAGAGGGGCGTAACAGCAGGGAACCTAATGGATGAACACAAAGGTGAGGCCAAGTTGCGTCCGAGGAGAGAAGCACAAAACGCTTCCAAGGGGGTTAGGAAAGGAGATGAGGACGGAAAAGAGGGAGAAAGGGTTTTTATGTGTGTGTGGGTAGAAACACATTCGTCTTTGGTCGCAGTATTCCACGTGTCCAGCAGCCTGGGACTGTCCTGTAGACTCCATGGCGTCATCAGGCCCGTCTGGGTCCTTTACGTTTGCCAAAATGCAGACTTTCAAGCAAATGTTCTAGAATTTGACGACATATCCAACATTAGCTCATTGAGTTGATGGCTGACTCAAAACCTTTACGTAAAAGAGTTCTGATTGATGAATTTGACGGCTACATCCGCGATGTCGTGCTGAGAGACGGATGCTAAAGCTGCACGGCCGCAGCAGCGTCACCAGGCGATGACTCATGGTTTCCCTTGTAAACGGGAGTTTGATCTCAGGAGAAATTCTGGTTAAAACGTTTTCTCCACCTGACCTCATCCTGCTTCTGCCGCCGCGCTACGCCCCGTCACGGCACGGAAAAAGTCCGCCGGGCGGTTATGTGGCGTGTTACGAGCAGGCGCGGCGAACAGCGTTGTGTTGATCGCTTATCAGTAGCACCCATCGGGCCCCACACACGGGCACACCTGCTCATATATCCTCCCGTGTGTGCTGTGCTGTGTGTGTGTGTGTGTGTGTGTGTGTGTGTGTGTGTGTGTGTGCGTTGCTCAGAGATGCTGGACTGCGACATGGACAACACACGCAGTCGTAACAAACAGTGAAACCATGAAACCAAAAAACGCACACACACACACACACGTATATATATATATATATATTCATGTCCCAACTTAAATAACACCGGTGTAAAGGACATTCCTTAAATAAAACCTGAAGCACACGTACAAAGACTTCTGGCTACTCAAAGGTCTTCTTCTCCGGCGGCAAAATATGAAGCTGAAAGATGACATAGTGAAACGTCAAAGCTTGTGTAATGTTGGACGGACATCAGGCTGTTGGACTTGCTGTCAAATTCTGCAAATTATCAGAATTTGATACATATTTACATCGTTAAATGTTGCTTCAGGGTTTAATAGAATAACACCAACTGTGCGCTGAAATGTTCCATATATAGTTTTTAAAAGTTTGTTGAATATTATTTGATATGACAAACGTAAATTACAGGTAGTTACAAGCAATGAGTAAATATATTAAAATAACCCAAGCTTAATGAAGTTAAATAAAGGTAAGGTAGCTTTAAAGTGTCTTCATCTATTTGAGGATTAGTTATTTCATTGGTTATTATTGTTCCACTATCTCTTACCTCTAATTTACTGACAGGAAGCTGCATGTGTTTCTGGTGCAGTTGCTTTACCTCGTTGAATAACTTGATATTTATAATGTGAGTAAACGCCACCCTCCGCCTTGATGAGGTAAATATCGCTGACGTTGGACGTGTGCCATTAAAGGTCAAAGGTCAGCGAGAGAGTGGAGTGTTTTACTGTAGTGTACACACACGCAAACCAGGAAAGGTTATAAATATTCATATTCCTGTTATGAGACGGCGGCATTCAAGGTAAAGAGACTTTGCAGTCTGCTGATTCTCTTTCTTCCGTCCTCTATCGCCATGGAGAGGACAAGAGAACCGTGTCCCTGCTCCTCTTTAGCATTTAGTTTAAGGAGGGAAACAGAGGGAAAGGAAACGTTAGCTCGCAGCCTGTTCTCCTTTCTATCAGCACTTCTTTTCCTTCCTCCCTGGCAGAGTGGATGGAAAAAAGTGCTCGCTGAAAGTAGACTTGTCGTCTGGGCCCTGATTGATCTGTCCCCATTACTCCTCTTCTCCCCTCACTTTCTCCGTTCCTCTCCTGCCGTCACTCCCCTCCAGGTCCCCACGTCAGTAAAGTCTCTCTGTGCAATTCCAGGGATTCATGCGACTATGCTGCAATATCAGGTTGACTAATATCCTGCAGAATCAAATCAAGAAAGTTGTAAAACTACAGTCTGGGGACGGCTTTAACTTTTCCTAACTGCGCCACATGCACAAATATATTGGAAAAAGCTGCTTGTTGGACTGATGGTGGACATTTGGAAAATGTGTGAAAAGACCTTTAGCTTCTAACCGCTTTCCTCTTTTGGTTCCCTCTCAGCGGGGCGCGCGGTTGTAGCCAAACGCGGCGAACTCTTCCTGTGCAGCAGCCAAAGGTACGAACGACTGAGGCTGATGGGTAAAACATTCAGCCCTACAAACAGACGTCCCACGGAAACAAAAGAAAAACCTGGAAGTGTGAGGACCGCAAAGGTCACATGGGGCGGGCCGGAGTGGAGATGCTTGCTCCCTGAGTGGGTTGATCCTTGTTCCGCTTTGGACTTGGTGACCTCCCCCTTTCCTCCTCATTCTGTGACATCAGAAAAAAGCCCCCTCGTCATGGAATGAGGAGAGAGGCTTGGTGCTGTCGTCATATATGGGCAGAGTGGGTGAGAGCGGGAGAGAGGCCAACATCGTCCGCTGCCTGCAAGATGTACGCGCACACAGTAACGCAACTACACACACGTTCACACAAGGTGCTGTATCATGGACATGGACACACACGTGACAGCCAAAGCAAATACACAAGCACTGCTGTTATTTGTGAAGCACATAACTCTGATGTCCCAGTATAAATAATCACTGCTGATTGGTGTGTGTGTGTGTGTGTGTGTGTGTGTGTGTGTGTGTGTGTGTGTGTGTGTGAGTGTATCAGCATGGAAACCGTGGAGCTCTTTGTTCCTCGTTGACCCTTTCCTACTTCCTTTTTCCAGCAGGTAGAACACCGCATACACACACACACACACACACACACACACACACACGCCATTGGCTCACCGCTCACACACACACGCACACACACACACACACACATGCACACGCACACACACACACACACACGCCATTCGCTCACCGCTCACACACACAGACACACACACACACACACGCACACACGCACACGCCATTCGCTCACCGCTCACACACACACTCACACACACACACACACGCACACACACACGCACACCATTCGCTCACCGCTCACACACACACACACGCACACACACATGCACACCATTCGCTCACCGTTCACACACACACACGGAATTCGCTCACACACACACACGCGCACACACTCACACGCACACACACACGCACACGCGCACACACACACGCGCACACACACACACACACACACACACACACACGCAGCCACGGGAGCTGATCGGTGCTGAGTTTGCGTGTTTGTTCCACATCTGCTGCTGTTTTTCCATCCAGAAATGCGCTCAGATTGAAACGGGTCATTATGCTCAGCACACGTATGTTCTCAGCATAACATGGAGGTATGATAGGACTGACTTCATGCTTTAGTGAAAACACGCCACTGGTGTCGCTGGAACCCACTGGGCTTCACTCGTCTGCCTCAGCAGAATGAGTAGGAGCATCTGGCTAAAACAAAGCGGAATCTCACATCTGAAACTAAGGGTTTATTTATTTGGCCAAACCACATCTGCTGGAACCGTCTTAGTTTTATACGTAAGGAGAAGTGTAATCACTCGCACAGACATTTTGTGAGTTTATATTGTGTATATTGAACTTATAGCTTGAACTCGTCAATAAGATTGATTATGGGGTCATTTGTCCCGCCCCCGTCAGGCCCAGCATTTACACGCCCACGCAGCCGTGTGAAGATATCTGCTGCGTGGGTCCACGATGGCTGTGTGTGCAACATCGGCATGAGATACAGTAAAATGATAATGATATTATTGTCTATATACAGTAATAGTGTCTTATGTGCTCTGCCTGCAGATGCCACACACACACACACACACACACACAGAATCACACACCGATGGATGCCGCAGCAGGACTCTGGGAAAATACTGATTTCATCATGTTGCTGCAACCCCTCAGCCTGCAGCCGAACCGATTCCCCGCCTACACGCGGCTACGGAGCACTGGGCTGCACAAAGGCGGTTGCCAGGCAACAAGCATCCTCTGGCTCCGTCCATACATGAAGACGTGTTCTTCACATGATTCAGAATCACG